TAACTTTTCCTGCCAGGAAGAGGGAGAAGTAAGAAAAGAGCAGCCTATCTGATTTTCCAATTGCAAGAGTTCCAACCTTGCCCAGCAGAACTGCAGATGTGAATCACTTTCATCTTCTACATCCCCGTTACACTTTTCCAGGGAGTGATTTAGCTGCTGCAAGTCACAGCTCTGGAGGAGCTGCTTGCAGGAGCTCAGATTTACTTATCAAATACTTGGTTTCTGTTTATCAATGATTGCTACACAGAGCTTATAGAAATGCTTAGTAAGTGAACACCTTTTCCTGTGCATGTTAATACTTAATGTGGGACTTCTATACTGGATTCTGATTCTTCTTTGCAGCACCAGATTGAAGGCCACGGAAGGACTTCATTGTGTTTGTAATGCCAGAAAGTCTTGAGCAGCTTTTGAGTTTCACCTGGGTATTGTTGAGGACAACAAAAATTCCCTTCTGAGGGTGTGCAGTAGAACACGGTAGCTGGAATGAAACAAGCTGGGAGTAACAAAGATTCTGGAGAGCAATGAGGCAGCATTCAGTGTGTTAGGCCATTGTTTGACATTTGTCAATCCCTCTTTGTCCCTAACCTGGAAAGGTTGGGAGCTTTAGTCAGCTCAAGGCAGTGATTTCTACCTTATATTGGCAGGAATGCAGAGCGCTGTGCAGCAGGTTTTGGTTGGCTGGCAGAGAAGCTGCTTTTGGTAACTTCCCCAGACACAAGGCCGGTCCTCGAGCAGAAATCTGAATATCATTTCCTATGAATTGGCCATAACTGCTGTTTATGTGAGGCCGTTGGCGCTGCGCGCGAGCCCCAGGCGCCGTGTGGCGTTCCCGATGCCGCGCGGGGCGGCCGGCGCTCGCGTCTCTGCCTCGGCCCGGGCTGGGCTGCGTCGGCCGCGGGCGAGAGCGGCAGTGTCTGCCCTTCTGTTTCACTTGAAGCGCGAGCCGCCCTCATTTTACAAGTGCTCTGTCTTCCTCATCTCCTGATGCATCAAGGACTAATAGTTACATAACTTTTCAGCTTTAGCTTGAGACTGGTTTTAGGCAGTATCACTTCCTTACACAAGTGGTATTTGCCTGGCGCAATATGTGTTGCACAGCATAACTGTAATCAGAATATCTGCCCTTGACATTGAGGTGTTGTTGCAAATTGCAAGCTCCTTGTATCTGCGTGTGGACATGGGGAGTATCTGCAGGTCTCCTGCTGTGGCTGCTCCAGCTGAGAGGTCGATACCCTTCTCGAGAGTGGCCGCCCTTGCCAGCAAGCTCCTTCAGCAGCTCACGGGAGCCATTCCGCTGCAGATGGGCAGAACTAGCCTGCACAGTTTAGGATCTTTGCAATTGCAGTTCATTGTGCAGACGTCTTTGAAAGCAAGGCCACTTCTTGGTGAGGTATTTAGTCCAGGCAAAGAACACCCAAGCTTGGCACTGGGGTGAAGTAAAATGTGTGCAGCAACAAAACCATTTACCACAAGTGGAACAGTTAAGTAAATTGTCTTTTTTCCTTTATGATTTTTAGATGACTTGCAGTGTGTCGGTGATTTGTTTCCTTTTCAGGAAGCACTAGGTTTACAGCTCAGTTAGAGCACGTCTTGGAACAAATGTGCCTTGGGTGTCATTTAGGAAAGCGGTGGAAGGAAGTAATACAGAAAACAGCACCGCGTTTCTATCGTGAACGTCTCGAGCTTTTCTCTCCAGTGACTGCTCTGCTCTTCTGTTCTGCATTAAGATTTTCTAGAGATCAACAAACCCAAAGTTGTAGTGCTCAGAAAGAAGAGAGGGCAAGTGCTCTAGCAGTTACTTCTTTTAGATTCTATAGTGCAGAGAATCTATAGAGATAGAGAATCTTGGATATAGATATAGAGATAGAGAATCTTGGGTTTCCTGTGATGCATTGGGGATCTGGAGTGAAATACACTCTCAGCAAAAAAACACCATAGAGAAGGTTGGGATACAAAGCTTGAAATTCAAGAGAGAAGTAAAATTGCAGTTTATTTGTGATGATAAAAGCAGTGGGGACACAAAACGTCCTCTTAATCTTCAGGATATTACATATTAAAATGATGTCATGCTGACAAGTTTTTGAAAGGATATTAACTGTTACTCTTGAGGTTCATAGCAATCTTCAAATTCCTGAAACTAGGATGAGACCTAATGTGAGGAATATTTTATCCCACATCTTCCTCATTAAGTTTCTAACATTTCCCTCTTCAGATCTCTGGTATTTACCATTGTACAAGGTAGGGGATGTGACTCTGACCCCTTTGGTCTGATGTCGTCTGGCAGGTTACTGCAGGTAAGTAGCCCAGGCTTCCCTGAATTCCTCTGCACTCCCTGCCCTGTGACTATGGACTTCCCTCTGCAGATTGCTCTAATGCAGAGCTCTGTTGTTCATCCAAAATTCAACGTACTGGGTCTGAAACCTTTCCTGAAGGGAAAGAAAATCCCCTGGGAGAGTTCTCAGAGCATTGACACAAAATTCCCCACAGGCTGGCGGCTCCCTTTTCTCTATGTTCCTGTTCTGAAGCACAAGCCGCTTTCCTGTGCAGGGAGCTGTGAAGCTGGAAGGCTTTGGAGCTGTGTGAATCCCGTTGGGGTCCCTGGAGCAGCAGCCCTTCCTCTCTTCTTTCCTTCCTCGCTGCTTCCTGGGGCTTTAGTCTCTGTGAGGGTTCCTCCTTTCTGAATGACTGTCAAATGCTTGTGCAGATGGCAGAAGTGCAAAGAAAACCAGCAGTGTCTGGCGTCATTGCAGGCTCCGGCAAGATCAGAGATGGTCATTTTGAAACTGTGTTAGAGTTGGAAAGACAGTAACATCATATTAAGGACTTCTGTTCCTGCCTCAGGACACTATAGTGAGGCCCACAGATTTCTGATGATAAAAATAGGCAAATTGTTGCAATATGGAGACTTATCCTCAAGACTTCCTCTGTAATTTTACATTTCATGCTGCCAATGACCTGTGCTTATCTCTTCAGCACTGGTTGATATATGGCAGGGTGAAAATTAGAGAGCAGAGTTGTGCTGGGAGCAGATGGTACATGGTTCAAGATTGATCTTTCCTAGACTTCCCTACAGGGTGAGAAATTGCAGAATGATTCCTCAGAGCATTTGGATTTTGAAAGAGAAAAAAATGGGACACGGGTATCTCTGTTTCCAGTATATGACAGAATAGCTTGTTGGAAAGTGCAGTAAGTAAAGAGCGAGTGCTAAGGAAACTTTTTTAACAGGATCTAAGGATGTTCCTTCTTAAATATCTTTTACTCCTTTCACTCAGATGGTCTGTCTAGACTAAAAGGCATTGGCTTTAACCAATGCATCAACCCCCTCATAAATATCTTAAAACTTATATTAGGGCAATGAGGTGGGCAGGGACTGTTGTACTGCTCAGTGCAAGGCGAAAAGGCAGTGAAGGAGAGAGAGCAGAGAAAGAGGCTCGGACAGGAGCGTGGACATCCAGCGGGAGCACTGCAGAGGGAGAGCTGAGGTTCCTGCAGCCCTGCCCGGCCACAGGCGCCTCGCACATCTCCAAGATGAGCTGCCAGGATTTGACAACCCCTTCAGCTGATGTCATTTGTGTTGTGCTGATCCTCCAGGCTCTGTCTTTCCTCCCCTCTGCCCTGCCGGCGGCGCGGGGATTTCAAGGTTCAGCTTGCATAACAGGTAATAGCAGGCATTTCCTCCTCCTGGGCCGGGATATCCTGGCGCCCTCCAGTCTCTCTCTGACTGTGTTTAAAACAGCCTCCAGCACAGGAAAAAAAAAAAAAAAAAAAAAAAAAAAAAAGTCCACTCTAAAATTAGCAGCCCTGATAGAAGAAAGGCCCACGGTTGTCCCGTGTGCTGTTTGTCAATGAAACAACAAATCCAAGCGGGGCCAGAAGGCGCTTCCGCCCTGCGAAAGGCAGGGAGGCGCGGAGGAGGGCAGCAGGGCCCTGCGCTGCCCGCGGCTCCCAGCGCTGCCCGCGGCTCCCGGCGGCTCCCGGCGCTGCCCACGGCTCCCGGCGCTGCCCACGGCTCCCGGCGCTGCCCGCCGCTTCGCTGCGCGCCCGCCACCCCTCTGCACCTAGGCTGGGCTGCCGTCCCAGCCTGCAGCAGTGCAAACCCTTTTATGCCACTCTAAATATCCTCAGTTTTAAAAATCCAAATTACTCAAATGTTACGTTATTTTAGTATAACTGCTTGGCTATAATAATAATAGTAATATATTTTGAGGCTGATCTTGTAAGGTCTGAATCAATGAATCAGTCCAAATATGACACTCCACAACTGACAGTTTCACACACAGATATTTTATAGGATTGGACACTTGCCCTAATAAATCCTTTGACTTAGGAGCATCCGTGCCTTTCTCTAAGTCCTGATTATGATCTCCAGATTATAAATCAATCTCAAAACATGTCGTTCATGAGCATGCTTTTGCTCTGCCATCAAGATGAAACTCGCTCTTCCCTTCCTCGCTCCGTTCTGCTGTCTTTGCTCATGCGAGCTGCTGGGGGTGTTGTTTTTACTGTAGCAGGCCTTGTTCCCAGGTTGTTCACTGCTGTTTCATTTGCTAGTTTTTGATCCATGTAGCAGAATACATCTCAACTCCACAGCGTAAAATGTAGCCATCTCCAAGGTGTGTAATCCCCTTTCAGTAAGAGCTCAGAAGTGTGGGCAGCCCTTCTGCTGTGCTTTCAGATACTTCCTTTGGTACATTTTGGCCTGCTAAATCCTGGATTAAAATTGCATCCAGTTTCTTTTTCATGTGTTCCTTCCTGGATTCCGAGGAAATAATAACGACTTGTGTTTCTTGGTTGGCAGAAGACTCCTCCTGATATATCCAAGATAAGAGCTTTTACTCATGGACACCGAGAAACTGCAGAATCTCATGGGGAGAGCTTTTAAGAGGCAATAAACTTATTTGTAGGCCTTTTTTGCCCCCCTCTGCCACCTGAAACATTCCTAAGGTGGAAAACTTGGATTTAATAGATATTTCCCCATCCATAAAAAGAAATGTACTTACTCGCCAGCTGGAAGACAGCAGCTATGGCCTCCTCCCACCACTGGGTGTCCTGAGAAATGAGGGGCAGCTCCAGGAGGCCGAGGACGAAGATGAGCTGGCCGGCGGTGAGGGCCACGGAGGCGATGAGGTTGCAGGCGCGCATCATGTCGAACTGCACTGCGGACAGGGGGAGGCACAGCGGTAACGGCGCGGACACTGCTCCCGTTAGCACTCACTAATCCTTTACACCTGCCGCAGAGACGCTGCGTTTCTAGCTAGCAGAGATGCTGCGTAGTCTAGTGAGATGGCTGCAGCGCAGTTATCGGTGCTAGGCACTTCTGCACAAGGTATTTGCTGTGGTTTCCATAGGTATAAGCAAGCAGATGTGTTTTCTACGTGTAAGTTATTGTGCAGTAAATATAAAGTCAAGCACAGAAATAATTACAGGAATAAATAAAGAAGCTAATAAATTATGTCCCCCCAGCTGGCTGCCGAATGGAATATATTCATTGCAAAGTGTGATACTTTCAGTTAGATTTCTTTCCCCTGCTTTTCCTGTTAACCTGAGGGATGTCCTGTTTTCCTTCTCTTCCTTCCTCTGCCGCTAAAGGTGGGTGCTGGGGACAGCACCGGGTCAGCTCAGCCTCTCTTGCTAACGTGGTGCTGCTGCTCTGAAATAGAGGCAGCTCAGAGTGCAAGGGGGCAGGGAGCAGAGTGAATATACAGAAGGGACTTCACTGATTAGGAATGAGCTTGGAAAGTCTACCAGAATTTTATTACTTTTATTTTTTTCTATAAAATTCTTATCAGAGGATTAATTGTCAGCTAGACTGCTTTATCTAGGGCTTTTTTTGGATGTCTCTTTTTCTTGGTAGCAGGAATGCAGGATTTCAGTGGACCCTGATGTCCCAATGTATTTTTCCATTCTAACATGCCTCTTAAAGGTATCTGATGTTCCTGCTCTGTGCTGCATGTGCAGGAAGATTGAGTGTATTTTGTTGGGCTAGCTCATTTTTGTCTGAGAGAGAGGCATTTTCCTGCAACAATCCATGAATGATGGAAGAACTGAAATCTGAGAAATAAATTCCTGGTCTTCTAAGGAGGTTGTTAGAAAGCACAGGACACAAACCTTGATACCAGCAAGCAAGAGCAAACATCCTTTCATTCACTCAGGTCTGCTGCAGCAAGGTGTAAAAATACATGAACTCCTTTTTCCTCTTCTCTCAAAAATGTTTACCTTTTTTTTTTTTAGCTTTTTTTTTTTTTTAGGTTTTTAGTTTTACTTTATAGCATTGGGAGAATTTAGACATCTTGTCACGTTGAGCAGTTGTTAGATAATGAAGCATGTTGGCTGACACTAAACTAAATATTTGCAAAGCTTTGAGCATTCACACGCTTTTCTACTTAAATAGACTTCTCTAGGACTTGGAGGACTGATAGATTCTGAACAAATAGCCATGGCTTTGAAACGACACACATACGAGAAGCTGCAGGCTTACAGCCTTTTTTATAAAAGTACTTTAATTTCTCTATAAAACTGTCTATAGTGCAAAACCCAGCAGGATTACAGCTGTAACACATTCTGTCTGGCACCCAGTACCATCCAGGTGCTCTGTAAATGCCCCAAACCTTATCCCTGTAATATTTAATACCCATTGGCATAGCAACACTGCATGTTTTTATTGCTTAACTGTATTAAAAACTCTGCTGCCTTTGCCATAGAGAATATTTCAGCCAGGATATTGAAAACAACAAGTTCATGACTATAGCCCAACTGAAAGCCAGCAGAATTTGTAATAACTTAGTCCTTATTTAAAGGTTGCTTGATCGCTGCTCTCTCCTGCAGATGGAGGGTGCAGCAGAATTTATACATGGACATATAATATAGAAGATCTTTATTGTTATTACTTGTAGTAACTGCCGACTTGGGGACACTTATTCACTTCATATGGTATCAGCTGTTCAGAGGAATCTAGAAAGACAGCTGCTATTTTACAGAACTACTTGTAACCCAAAAGAAGGTGACATGGGTTCAGCAGGGACGAGAAAGAGAGTAGAACAGGGGAGGAATCAGGTGGCATGATTTGATGACATGTCAAGAGAGTTATATGTATGGAATAAGCTGGGACAAGATGCTCAGTTGGGCTACATACACTTTCAGAGCTAGCATTAATTTAGAAGGATGTGCCTAGACCACGAGCTTCTGGAAGCCGGTGTCTCAGTCTGTCCTGCGGACGCTGGGGGCCACCAAATGAGCTTGGAACTCGTTGCACCTCTGGGGTCTCGCTGCTGAAGGCAGTTCCTGCAGCCAGAGGTGGGTGACGAGCGTGGCTGGCGTCTGCCGTTGCGGCCAAGCAGGGAACTACGGATTCCTTTCTAGTGGGCAAGGCAGAGCCACGCTGGCTGCTCAGGAGGGCTTATTCCTTCTGAGAACAGGAAAGGAGCACAGGCAAGCTGCTATTTGAAGCAGCTATTGTTGAGCACTATAAAAGCGACAAATTTAAAATCGCAGTTTCTTTGGCTCTATCCATTTGGAAGACCAGCTCAAGTTTAGTTTACTTTGAGAAGGATTTAGTCACGGACAGAGCATCCAGCTAGGCAGCTCGGGGCACTGCCTAACGAGTTCTGCTTCGCTTAGAGCACAGTGATCAGTCAAGGGTCAAAATCCAAGCTCCAGGGATGAGACCAATGCAAATTCCTTGTTGCCTTACTCATTTCCGAGACCAGATGTATCCATCTGGATTGGAAATGTTGATTTGATTTTGTTCTTTGCAAGCGGCAATTTTACTGTGTGATGTTACGTGACAGCCCCGGGATTGTTTGCGCTTTGGAAGAGGTAGGTTAGTCAAATGAGAGAGTAATTTGTGGTGTTTTGTAGTAATGAGGATGATTTCACTGAAAAAAAAAATCAAATTGCACTAATTGCTTGAAATGTGAGGTTTTCCACTCAAACTGCCTGTTACATTTTGAGAAATACAAAATCATAGGCTGGAATTCAATCTTTTGACTGACCAAAGCACAAAGTGTATATGGAGAACACTTCACCACTCGGATCATTTTAGTCTTTGCTTGGCGCCTTCCCTGAGGAGGAGCTCGGTTGTGGTGAAGGCACAAAGGCGCAGCCAGGCAGGAGGCAGCCAGGTCAGCTCAAGGACCCACCACGAGCACCTACAGAGCAGCCTCCTAAAGGATTAGGAGGTTCTTTGCAGTTGGCTGGGTCAGTATTTGCTTTTCCCAGCTGAAACCATTTTTTTTTTTTAAGGAAATTCCTTTAGTCAAGGTGGTATTGATTAAGTGTTACACTATTGTGGTGTTTATCTTCAGTTTCCTTTTAAAAACAAATGTTTCCCTTTCTGGTATCTATTTTAAAATTATTTCAACCAGCTAGAATTCAGAGTGTACCTTTTCATCATTGATTATTTTTTTAAATACTGAGTTACTAACTTCTAAAATTTATCAGTATAAAAAGGCAAAGTTTATAGGAGGGAATTCAATGGCTGCTACATCTGAGATGAATTTGAAAGAAAAATAAAGTATTTCTACAATTGGTGACCTTTCCTTTCTTTGATTCTTGGGTTTGATTATTGATTCCTTATTTAATGAATCTCTGAATCTACACACTGAGGTATCATTCTTACAAATACCAAGTGTTCTCACATAACGTCATGTTGGAAAGGAGAAGTGCCTATGTGCTTTGCCTTTCTGAAAGACCTGTAGATTTTTCTGAACACGTTTTAATGAAGTTCGTAATGCTTCAGCATGCTTATAATCTCTCTTCAGCAGCTTCACTTTCATTAGAGCCTATTTGTAGTTGATTATAACTTGGCTAGACTTGTGTAGAAAACATCTTTGGGGACTGAGTGTCTGTGGCCTGAGGCCATATTCTGCTGCTGCTACAATTTAATCCAAGTTGTTTCAATATTTCAATTTTCTCTATTACAATCTATCGCGATATGTGTTTTTTTGTCTGTAACTTGACATTTTGATGAGGTGTTACCTTGAGATAAGGTATAAATCTCTTGCTTTTTCTATAAAAATTAGTTTGGGCCAGTTCTGTGCCCCTGCTGCAAGTGCCCTGGAGCTCGAGTTCCTGACCCAGGTACTAAGGTGAGTGGAGGTAACGGTCCCTTACGGCTCTGCTTAAACCCAGAGGTTTGACACCTGCCCGTGGCCCCTACATAATGAAGTTCTGCTTTTTCTGTCCTTTTGTAAAACCCACCTTAGGGGGTCTTCAGAAATGCACAGCGCTCAAACATGAGGAAAAGCCAGGAAAATATATTTTTACTTAAATAAGCCTGTATGTTTTCTCTTTGTGGGAGCTCCATGCTTTGCACACGAGTTGGAGCGGAGCCATGCAGCCTGCCTCTCTGCTTGCAGTGTCTTGCTCCGCGTTACTTATGGCTTTGCTGTTAGTAAAGCTGAATTCCATCCTGGAGAAATGAACTCTGGCTTCATTTGGAAGCAGCTCTCCTTTATAAACGCAAAGTACCCTGAGAAACGTCTCTTAACATGACTGCAAGCCTAAAATCTAACATCTGGCCACCCTGGGTCCTGGGTGCACCCAGGATGCACCCAGGGTGCAGCTGTGGGTGAAGCACTGCCAGCTCCACCAGGAACGCAAAGGAAGCAGTTTAAATTACTCTGTTTCTCCAGAGAGCTGATGCTGTGGATGAAGCGCCTTGGGGCCACGTATGGAGCAGTAGTTACCCTATGAGCTCCTTTGCTAACTGAGACGGAGATTGAGTGGGCTTATTAGGAAGTGTGTGGCAATGCTTTGGTTTCAAGTGCTGGGCTTGAAATTTAATACTCAAATATTTAATATGAAAGGCAGAGAGACTTGACTGGATGGGGAGAAACCAAGCATGATTTTACATATTTTCAGCAGTAAAATTGGTGCTAAAATGAACATTCACTCTCAGCTGACGAGGGGGCCTCTCACATTGACCTGTGAGGAGGCAGCCCGCTCGCCTTCTCCATCATCTGCTAGTGACTGAAAACAGAGGCACAGAATGACTGGGGTTGGAAGGGACCTCTGTGGATCATCTAGTCCAAGCCCCTGCTCCAACAGGGACACCCAGAGCACGGGGCACACGGTTGCGTCCAGGTGGGTTTGGAAGTCCTCCAGAGGAGACTCCACATCCTCCCTGGGCAGCCTGTTCCAGGGCTCTGGCACCCTCACAGGAATGAAGCCTCTCCTCCTCATGTGGAGACCCCTTATATGTCCTGTCACTGGCCAGTCCTGTCACTAGCCACCACAGGGAACTGCATTGCACTGATTGAATCAAATCGTTGCACTGAAATCATTGCAAATCATTGAGTTGCACGTTGATCTATGGTTAGAAAGGGCATCACAAGCCCAGAGCTGCCAACTGAGCCGACTGTGTCTGAATGAGCAGTTTCCTGGTCAGAAGCTCTGCCAGATCCAGCAGCGTTTCTTTCTTGGTCAGTGAATGTGGAACAAGGGATATGTGTCTGTAAGGTGCTCAGCTCTTGGCTGGACAGATGTTTAGATTTGGTCCCTATGGAAGCTCTCAAGACAAGCTCTGCCACCCAGGCTCTGAGTGCGTTTCTGCTTCTACCCACAGGATTTGGGGGAGGCTTAAGAGATGCAGGAGCCAAACTGTGCGGCATAATCTGCAGTCTTGGAGCAGCTCTGCAACCAAATCTCTGTGACTTCTGGCAAGTGTCTTCACCCTCGTTTTGATGCGAGTTGATGTGTGCATTAACCACCTAGGATGCTTCTCAAGGGAGGTGGAGACCTGCCAGTCGAGTTCCCAGCAAGAGAAATATATGCCATGATAAGGCCTTTAAATTTATATAATTCAGTGGCATGTGCGGTTAGAAATATTTGGATGGTAGTCCTTATAACTGAGCTCTGCTTCTGGGTGTAGGGATTTCAGATCTGCTTGTCTACTGCTACTAGCAGGGAGCTCTTCACCCCTCTTTATACTAGCAGCAGCACTGGTTGGCCTCCAGATATGACTCCTCAATACAGCTTAAGTAACCAAGGGAAAAAAATAACCCTCCCTTGCAAACCTGGCTGTATTTTTAATGTGTTAGCCGTGGAATCACAGCAAAGCTCAGAAGGGAGGTTGGAAAGGGTCTCAGGAGACCTTATGGTCCATCCGTCTCTTCGAGAAGGGTCACCTCAGCTTTTGAATAGCCCCAAGGAAGGAGGATTCTGCACAGCCTCTCTCTTCCAGTGCTTGGGCACTCGAATCATTAGAAGTGGCTCACAGAAGCTTTCTGGCCAAACAGGTAGTTGAAACAGGGGCAGGTACAGGACTGGGTGGCAAGAAAGAGAAGGAAGAAGTGGATAAAAACAGAAGTGGAGAGACCCGAGATGCTTCAGTCAGCACGGCTGCTGTGACTTGTCCTCCCCTATGGAGACACTTCCCTGGAATGAGGAGTAGGTTGCTCTATAAGCAAGTATTATAAATAGTTGAGGGGAGAAATTAATTGTGCAAGAAGCAAGTATAGGAAAAAATGTGTGATCAGAGTGGTGGTGGTGAAGGTTATCAGGGCAATAATCTGCTGAATTAATAAACCTGTCCTAATTGCTTGTTCCACTGCTTATTATTTCCTGTATGTTGGGCTGTGTTTTTACTTAAACATTTCCCCTCATAGGGACAAGACTACCCAGCACATACGGTAGTACCCCCTCAGGAGCCTTTAACATGGTTTTTCTAAATTAAGACCTAGATGTACAGATTTGCTGGTTCATATGGTTTATTCCTGTCGCTGGACTTTATTTTTCCTATTTCTAACCCTTTATACCCATGGCACCTCTTTGCTGCGGCATGCGTGACCTTTCCATGCGTGACCTTTCCCTGTCGTTTATGGTCTTTGGGGTTCCCCCCAGGATTACTTTCCTGGCTCCTCAGCATCCTCGCTGCGGGGTCTGCATTTGGGGATTTCAGTGCAAAATGCTGCAGCTCTTGTTCTAGTCATTCATAGCACAATGGCAAATTGATTTCAATGTCTTGTTAGTAGGGAGTTTGTTCAGAGAACTGTTTTGCTGTGGAATTTGCTTTTGCACGTCCAGAGAGGCATTTGGTGGATGTGCTCTATGACTTTCCCCATTCACCCACTGCGTGACCTTTGACAGATCATTTTCTTTGATATTTTCCCCCAATATATGCAAGACTTGAAGTATTATTTCTTTGAAATTCCTGCGGTTTAGCTCAAACATATGCAAGTCCTGACACAGTGACCTACTTGCATATTTTTTGTGTGACTCATTTCTTTGAGTTGTGTGCATGATGCGGGAGGACTGGGAGCCCTGCCTTCGTTTTGCCCCTCCACGCAAGCTTTGCCGGTGATTTCAGTGGGAGAAAGATCAGGCTCTCAAGTTCTAATGAGCGAGAAATCCACTGCCAGGGAGAAAGCATGTGTGCAGTGACACATTTAGTTGGTTATTATTTATGTACTACTAATGCAGAAATTGTCAGTATATGGAAAAGCTGCTTCTCTAAGATTTTAGTTTTTCTTTTGAACTGTAAGATAGGTTTTCCTCTAGATAAATGTACATACATACTTATCTCTATACACAAATATAAGTATATGAATGTGTGCATGTAAGTAAGCATACTTTTTTGAGTGGTGTTGTGAGCTTTCTTGCCCTGCTGCTGAAGAGCAGGTTTTCTGCTTGTTCTTCAAATGGTAAGACAATTTTTTTCACAATCACATGCAAAATACTATAGAGTAGCTCATCACTTCAAGAAATTAACTTCTTTTAGAAAGTGTTTTTCATATATTTATATATATGTGTATATATATATATATACACCCTCACATGTATATGTGTTTGTATGGTTCTGATTATAACTGATAGATGAGGACTGTATTACACCTTATTAAAATAACACATGATTTCTTATTAGAGTTTTTTTAATAATAATAAAAATCTGGATGCAGAATCTGGCCTACAATAGCTGAGAATAGAATGAAACGGAAATACATCCGTCTTCAAAGTGTGCGCAACAGATTCGTTGCCCAAGTAGTTTCTCATGCTGTAAGAGTAATGTTTTCCTTTAAATGGCTTCTAAAGACTCAAACTTTGCCTTTTTTTCTTGCTATATGCACATGTAAAACAGTGAATAGATGCTTTATCCATACACAAATTGAGCCATCAAGGTCCTTCTTTAAACTTGTTTTTTAAGCATGTTTGTTAGCTAAAATAATTCTTAGGAGGACTTACTCATACTGTAACTCTTACTTTGAAATTTAAGCATTTTCCATTAATTTTTGCTTCTATTTGATGTAAGAAACTACTGCCCATGCAATTCTGCTGGAAACCTAATACCTTTATGCCAGTCTTTCTAGCACCACCCGTCTTCTGAGCGATGCATAGCAAGAACTACCCATGAGCTTGCAGGCTTAAAGCATGGCAAGAGCCAAATTCAATATTCAGGAGGTCATTCCAGCTGTTAAATGCCAAGCATGTGCTTTTAAAATCCTGAATGGGATGCAAGTTTTTTTAAGTTAGAACATGGTTTATAAATACTAATCAGGGAGTGGTGTGTCCCTATTATCATTTACTCCAATGATAAAAGTAGAGATAGACATTCAGGGACTTTTTCAATGGCCTCATCATATTTATAACTATTTGTCAATAAAAAGTCTTTGAGTTAAAAAAAAAAAAGGGAGAGAGAAAAAGAAAATCAGGTCTAAGGGCTTTAGAACATTTTAGAAGTTTTCTGTTTGTGGTTTACGCAAAACCCCTACTGCTGCTATTACTATTAGCTCATGTGCAAAAAATTATTGCATGCTTTTTTGGGAAAAGAATGATATGGCATGGGTCCACAGGGAAGCATTCTTTTGGAAAGAAATTTCTCTTTTGTTTCTTCCTTTCAGTCTCCAGAGGCATGTGAGAGGCCTTGAGGAAGAACAGAGCATTTTACTCTTCACATTTCAAACCCATGACAAAACTCCATGTCAAATCGCTTCCATTGCTACTGGCACTTCCTGAGGGCTCTGTTAAAAACGGATCGGGGTGAATGAGCGAAGCGCAAGGCCCTGCTGCTCCAAGTCCCTGTCCCTGCTGCCCGGGTTAGAAGGTGGCTATAGGGACGGGACAGCACAGACCTCTTGGCACTGTCGCGCGGGCGCCGCGCGCGCCAGAGCTGAGCCCAGCTGCGCTAGGCACGGCCCCGCTCTGCTTGCTCCGTCACAGCGGGAGCACCCTGCGAGGGCTGCGTACCTGGGAAGGAAGCTGCACTTCTTGCTACTCGCATAATCAATATGAAACTCCAGAGAATCAATATAAATGCCCCCAATTTTTGAGCTTATAGCTCAGTTCAAACTATAAGTGTTCTTCTGATCCTCAGCATATCTGAATTTGCAAAATAAGAAGGATGCCGTGGCTAAGGATTCCCCCTTTACCCAAGCAGAGTGCGAATCGGGCGACTAGTGTGCATTTATTTAAGGCCAAGCTCAGGTTATATGTGTGTTCGCCCCAAATGCTGCTGTCTTTTCTTCCTCACTGGCATGTCCAAAAGGAGTGAGCAATAATTTAGCATGGTATCAGAACAGTATTTTTGCTTCTTTTGGATTTGAAGTGTTTGAAGCGACTGGAGTTAGGGGGCCACTGTGCTGAGAAGGAAGAGCTAAGCTTATGGTAGGAACCCAGGAAGAGGGAAAGGAGAACAAGAGATTCCTCTGAGTTTTAGACCTGTAATTCACAGATGTGTTTTCCAGAGCACATCTTTCCGTCTGCTGTACAAAACCCAACCATGCAATTGAAAACATATCTTTGGGAGAGGGCGGGAGAATTCAGTTTATCTGCAGCGCCTAGACGCTTAGAAGGTGCTGAGAATCAGCTTTCAGCTGGGGCTTCAGTGGGGACAAAGCCCCTCCTCGCGTTGCTCTCCCAGAGCCGCGCTGGTGACAACGCGGCGCGAGCGGAGGAGACGAGAGGCTGCACTTACGTTTGACGGTGCTGCGGGACTCCTGGAATCCGGCTGCCTCGGCCCCCCAGCCCAGGCCCTCGCACTCGCGCTCCTCCCCGTGCCCGTGCCGGGAGCCCGTGCCCGCTCGGCCCTTCTCCGCCAGCCAGCACATCCTCCAGAGCCCCACGCTGCGCTTGCGCCCGTCCTCCAGCGTCTGGTACACCCAGTTGGGAGTAAAGGCAGCCGCGTTGTTGAGAATGAGCGAGACCAGGGCTACCAACACAGCTGTGGCTACCAGTTTCTGGACAGTCATATCTGACTGTCAGCTCGCTGCCCGTGTGTGTGCGAGGTCTCAGTCAGCTGCGGCACATGGAAGTCGGGCCTGGCTTCGCTGCAGTGTTATGGGCTGCTAGAGCACATCACCGTTCATTCTCAATGTCGATTCCTGAGGCGCTTCTGATCAAGCAAACAAGACTGTGGAGAGGTAGGTGGGAGAAATCCATAAAACACAGACGCCAAGCAGCTCTCCTAGGCAGCTCTGCCCTTCGTGGCTTCGGCTTATCCGCCTTCTTGCACTTTGATGAGCAACGCCAGCCCAGTGGTGAACTGCGAGATGGGGAGGTCCATTCCTTGGGACACGAGGTGCAGCCAGAAAGACTCCGGTCCCGCGGCGGGAGAGCCCGAGCAGCTGCGGGGATGTGAGCGGCACAATGCTTGACAGCGGCGTGCGGCTTTGGCGGCGCCCGCGGCGCCCGCAGCCTCCCCGGGGCAGCCTTCAGAAACTCGCCCGCACGCTGAGCACGGTCATCTTCAAAGCCGAGCCGGACTCTGCTCTCTTCATCCCCCAGAGACACCCACGGAGCTCAGGGTCTCTTGAGGAATTTGCGGTGTCCCGTTCCCAATGTGGAAGCCGCGAGGGGCAGCGACCAGGGAGCAGAGACCGCTGTGAGGAGAAGGGTTTTCTGCCCCCCCTCTGTCTCTCCACACAGAGGAAATGGCTGTTTTTTGCGGCTGTTTTTGGTGAGCCTCAGGGCGTAGCCGGCTGCAACAAACAGAGCCCGCTGCCGCAGCAGTCAAACATGAACAGGATGTGTTTCCTGAAAGGAAAAGGCAATGGAGACTTCTAAAGTTGTACCTCCTCCCCGGCTGGGCCCCCTCCCGTCTGCCTCCTCCCACCCACCCGCCACCCGAGCGAGCGGAGCTGGAGCTGGAGCTGCCACAGAGCCCACAACCAGGACCAGGACCGTCCTCCCACGCTGCAGGGAAGAGCCCCAAATCCGCAGCAGTGGGGCTGCAGAAACTGCTTGAGGAGAAGGAAAAAGCATTTAAATATATTTTTAGCAGAAGCGCTATATTAGAGCTCCCTCGGGGCTCCTGCCTCGTGTGAGGCACCCCGGCACCCCTTTTTCGCACTAGAAGCTCGGCGAGGTTGCAGAGCGGATGCCCAGGCAGATGCTCTCAACCCAATCCACCAATACCCAAACCGAACAGGAGGCCGCAGCCCCTGCAAGGGGAGCGTGCGGGGCTGCCAGGCCCTGGCCCTGCTCCTGGCGCGGCGCCGGCTCGTGGCCCGCAGCCCCTGGGAGCGCCGTGTGAACACGGGAGCCCCTAGGAACAGCTTGGTCTGGTGCCTCTTCTCGAAGCTGATTAATGCCTGCAGTCACAAGCGGGCACAGAATTAACTGCCACACGGGCGGCCAGCTCTGACAGGTCTCAGCCTACGCAAACTACAAGGAAAGCCGTTGTAGGAGGGACTGAAAAAGGGTTGTTGTGTTTCCCAGTGTAACTGGAAAAGGAAGCACCCTCGAGCGTTGGTGTTTCCAGAGGGCCCTTGCTGAGAGGCTGCTTCTCAGAATCACGTTGCAAGCAATTGCTGCTGCGAGGCGGCGCAGCAGCCGCCTCAGGGCCGTGCAGCTGCAGCGGGTGCTGCGCCGCAAGGCTCTGCGCCCACCTGGGGCTGCAGGATTCCTCCTGCCCCGCTGCCCCAGCCTGGGCTGCAGCGGGTTTCCCCTCCCTAGACTGATCCTGGCAGAAGTCTTTAGACTGGAAAATTGCACCGTAAATGAACGCAGTTGAAAAAATAACACATAGCGTTAAATATGGCGTGGTAAAATGAAGGTGGGACAACACCTACCTTCTTGTCAACAGCCTGCAGAGGGAGCACTGAGAAGTTGGGTTAGAGTAGCCGCTTCCCTGCGCTCAGCCCTAGTGGGGTGTGCGGGATGAGCAAGTATTCGTGTCAATATAGCTAATAAATTTTAAAAAATATTAAATTATTTATAAGTAGTTTTATCATGGCAGTTAAGTTATATATGCAACAGATCCCTGTTGACTCGGTATACACAGAGAAGCTGTCTAGAATTTATCTTGAATGAATATTTGAATGATACAACTCTGTATGTGTTTTTCATCTGTCAGAATCTACAAATCTGGTTAAAAAATGACTGTTCCTCTATAGACTCAGTTCATTTTTATTCCATTAACAAATTAAGCTTTAAGTGCTTTGAACATTATCGTACTTTCACAGCAGTGAAAGTTTGGTTTCTTTTTTTACTTTCCCATCTAAGTGATCGTATTTCCATAATTTTTGAAAGTTGTAATATAAATAATAATTCTTCAAAGAATTTTTTTAACCAGAATGACTATATTTTAAAATAACCACCAATAACCCATGAGTTATAAAAATTAAGCCTGTGATTCAACAGCAGGGCAGATGATGAACATTTACAGGAGGGCTTTACCTTAGAGGTAAATCTCTGCTATCCTATAGTACATTTGTTTTGCTCTTCTTTGACTTCTGACATTTATTGAAATCTGAGAATATGTTTTCAGAAGGGCACAAGGTGCTTTTCCTGTTGCACATGTGAAAATAAGGCAATCGTATTTTGCAAATGCTGAATGAAATGAGTCTAACTCTTTAAACCTCAGCCACAGCAGTTCTTCTTTCCACAGGAGTTACTGGGCTGTATATAGTTGTTCTACCTCGTTTCTGAATTAGTTTGACTTCAAAAAGAAGGCACGTTTCTCACCAGCAGTGCAAGGCTGCGAGTCTCGAGCGGTCCAGCTTTTCTAACCATTATGGCATGAGCTTGGAATTTGAGATGGGAAATTCTGTGCATTACCTATGCAAACTCATGCGGGTCAATGAGTTTGCATTTACGGCAGCTTTGCCAGAGGCAAAAATATCTCTTCCTCCCTGCCCAGTTGCTTTGCTCGTGGCCTCAGGTGGGCGAGGAGCTGCAGGTGGGAGCTGATGTGGGTGAAATGAATGGATCAGTTCACTGCCAGGCAAAACATACGTAGGTGGTGACCCTGGCTCTCATGACAGCATTAGCTTTAGATCAGATCAGTTTAGACCTAAGGTTTTGGGTTAGCAGATCCTCCCTGAAACAGCTGCATCATTTTAAGTCCGTGTTATCCTGTCACTGGAGGGGACCACTTCGTCACTGCTGATTTGCAACGTTGGGTTTTTGTGATGATGGGAGCTTTAATCCTTGTTCCCTGCTTATAGGGGAGGAAGGACAGCAGCACTTGACACGTCACCCACCCAAGGAATAGGTCAGCATGGAAAGCATCTGAGGAGCAAGGCAAGGCAGCAAGAATGGGTATTGTCTGCAGTAATTCAGCAATTCAAGCCTTCTTTCCCATTGCAATTTTCTGCTGGATGATCTTGTTTTAAATTAACCATTCACACATAATAAACTCTGCAAGATCACAGTAGTTGTTACTTTTCCTTAGGAAGCAGACCCTGTCTTGTCCCATCTTTTTCCTTGGCACAAGGCAGACGGGAGTAGCAGGTGGAGGAGAGGGACGGGTCCAGTCGTGGTTTACGTTCGAGTGCACATCCACTGCTTTCCAGATCTCCTGAGATTTCCTTGAATTTCTGAATTTCTTCATACTATTCATTATCGCCTTGAGCTCTATTGCAGTTAATATATTTTCACTTGAACCAGTCCTAGGAAGACCCATTCGCTGGGGACGTGGCCCTCCTCATGTTGACAATACCGCTGTGACTCTTGTCTCTTGCTGACATGGGGCAAACTATTTTGTGTATTTGTGCAGATTGTGGCAGGAAAATCTATCCAGTTCTATGCATTACATTACTGTTTCATATCATAATGCATCCTGAATACTATATCTCATAGTAATATTTGCCTTTCCACTATGAGTTAGGCTTTTAAATGAGAATACTTAGTATCCTGTTTGCTGAAGTGGGACCCATGCGGGAAAGCAGGATTCTGTTTTCTACTGCTCATCAAGAAATGGAATGGGAATATGTGATTTTTTCATTAAATAGAGGACAAGAGATTTTGTAAATGGCTGCTTCAGCTGTAGAGGCATTTAGCATTTGCAAATAGGTCTCCATTTACTGGATTTATTTTTTTTTTTTAAACTTGGAGCTAATGAGAATTGTCTAGTAATAGAAGGTGTATGAATAGCAGTGAAATCAGACTCTCAGATGTTACAAATACAGTTACACTGAAAAGAAAAACAAATCCTCAGGGGTCAGAAATATAGGAAGAAAAACAAATTCCATCCTCTACGTGATTCTACCTGTGTCCAGGCTTAGGAGGCATCAGCGTTTGCCTTGGTATGTGTAACTCTTGATGGGGTCTGCAGCTCAGGGCGTCAGGCCTCCCATGTGTCAGCAGATACCTGTGTGATCGGTGGTGCCTGCTCATACGTGGAGGCGCCTCGTGCCGAGGCCTCCTTGCGTCGAAGGAGGGCGCGTTGCTGCGGCCCCGGGGCCTGGACCACCTCTGCTCTTGGTTAAGTTTTCAGCTTGGGCTGATGAAGTGCAGCTGCGGGCTGCCTGTCCAGAGAGTGAGGAGAACTAGGGGGTTGGGAAGAACAGGAAATTCTCGGAGCTGGGGGGAGGGTAAAGCATGACTTGGGATGTTATATGGGATAGTGAGGCTGCGTCTGGAGTGGAGAAGTCGCTGCCTTTTATGGGTGCAAGGACAGATTCATCGTTCTTGCTGCGCTAACAACTGACAGGAGATGAAACCAGGTTCTTGGTTCTTGACCCGACCTGCCCAACTTGCTGCGTTACTTTATGCTCTTGTTGGTGTTGGCTGCTGCCTGAGGTGCCGTCCCTGGCGGTTCCTGATGGGCAGAAGGCTCCGTGCAGCCGCGCTTCCTCCGCGGTGCTGGCGGTGACACCCCGATGGCTGAAGAACACAGCGGAGAGACCGGGCCACTGCGGGACAAGGCTGCTGTTTTGGCGCACAGAGAAACACTGGAGCCTTTTGGATCTTCCTTGGATCGTTGTGTTTGCCGAGCACAGATGTGCTCCGTGGCCCCTTGCAGTTTCGGTGCGATGCGGTGGGTGCCGGTGTCCAGCCTGGGCTCCTGCTTTGCGCACGCCAGTTGCATCTCCCTTGGCTAGCGAGACCACCTCAGTTCTGTACTGGGGGTTGTCTCTGTAAAGCACCTTGGTTCTCTAGCATTTCGTGTGGTGATGTTACTCCGGTGTCTTCCTTAATTTAAAATGAGTATAATAGATCTTTTTAAAGTATATAAATATCAAGTACACTTACAAATATTTTAATAAATACATGGTAGTCTTTATATGTCTTAGAAGACAGTCTTTGAAAGCAAACAGCATGTTACTGTGTGCAAAATACTTGAAATTTTTCTTACCAGTTGTGGGCTGAAAAGGGCTGGGCTCTGAGAGCAGAGATGCAAAAGCCCTTCAGCTCCGTTGGGTCTGGAGCGGAGGAGGAAGAGGTGGGATGAGGGAGCTCCAATTCTTCTGAACAGGTGAGAGGGACCTCCTGTGACAGCAGCTCCTTCTGGGTTCGGAACTTGGCAGGAGCTGTGGCCTAAAATGAGAGCAGAAATCTGCCAGTAGATGATAAGTAGCATCTTCTAAGCTCTCCCAAGTCTCTGCATGCTGGTAACTTTTAGCTTTGTGTTTTAAAATATATTGTTTGGCTCAATTCCTTTCAAAAGTTTCCAGCCCCTGTAGCATAAACAAGATTTCTCTTCCCCTTGTCTCTGAGGCCCTGAGCTCCCCTCTCTTTGCGTCAAGGGAACTGCAAGCTGTCGAGGCTCTTAAGAATTAAGATTTTGATCTCCTTTAAGAAATTTGCTGCGTGTCAGCTTGACAAAACACGGCACAGGCTCGTGTTTAGCCCGAGCGAAATAGCTATGGGCAGCTTCTGCTGGCACGCTGCAGACTCCAGAAAATAGATTTCTGTTGCTTACATTTCTCTGTTAATGAAGCACAGCTATGTGCGCACGCACATCTTTTTTAAAACTTGACATCTTTTGCTGATGACAGAATTTACTCTCTTTATCAAAGCCAGATATGGTAGCGACATCTAACGTGACCAAAATGCTCTTTAAATGTGTTTTTTTTCCAGCTATTTCCAGTTGCAGATACGGTTAATGGTTTGAATAAAAGAAAGACTAATTCAAAACTTTTGAAAGGTAGGAAGGTCACATCTTCTGCTGATGTGAATCAGCACTTCTGTATTGAACGGAGATCCATAGTCTCCCCCACAGGAAGACTGAAGTTTTGGGAAGGCCTCTCAGCATCAGAAATGGTCCTGCTTCCCTCTCCTCTTCATTCACAGTCAGGCAGTGACTTGGGAACATCAAAACAGAGCAAGAGGAGGACATGCTTGAACCAGAATCAATCTGGACATGCCCATATGTCCAGAAATTCAGTACAGCAGTCAACATGGACCTTAAAAAAAAAAAAAAAAAACCAAAAATACCTGAACTATATGAAATGTGTCCCCGATTTATTGCTTTCAATCTGATTTTGTGTTTTCCATATTGCTTGTCCTTCCTGAAGTGTCTATTTGAATACACAGCGACTTCTACCTGACATGGTTGTAGTGGCGCCAGGTCGCTGCAGATACCCGGAGCGCAGAGCAGGAGGGCAGAAGGAGCAGAAGGAGTGTTGCTCCGTCGCCCGTGTTTGACAGCACGTCGCCTCCGCCTGCTCCGCAGCTTCCCGGTTAGTCATTTTCCCCTGTTTGTGCGAGTCTTTCCCACAGCCACTGCGAAGAGAAAAACATTTTAATCATAGGAAAACGTGACTGTCAGGCCTCTGTAGACTGCAAGAGGAGCTGGGTGCAGGTGCTGGCCTGAAGTGTCGCCTTTCTCTTTTTTTGTGTGTTTTCTTTCTCTGATTTTATCACTTAGATGCTTGTTCTGTATTGCAGTGTTGTCTGAGGAGTGTAATCACATGCTGTGTTCCTCCAGGTAGCTGCAAGTGCTGCAAAAAAAAGGACACGTGGTTTTTAGTCATCAAATCTGCTGCATTTTACTCTGAAGAGCTTCAGGTGCAAATAGGATCCGTGTCGATCTTTGCTTGTCCCCATCAGCTCTGCTGTGGCCCTGCTGTGGGCAGTGCAGTGGTGGAGCTGCCCGGCTTCACTGCTTCCATCTCCGCAGGTGATTTTTGCAACATGAAGCATCCTGGGGAATTCCTACTTCGAACAGTGTGAGGCTTTTCTCTTTGTGCCATTTTTTCTATGCAAGTTTTCAACTGGAGCACAATAGTTTGCTGGGTTATTTCCTGCACATCATTCCCTGCTATAGGTGATAAACCCTTCATAGCTGCTCCAGATCTGAACTGCAGAAGACAGGCAGTCACAGGAAGACAATTTCAGTGTAAGTTTTCAACTATTTGCAAGGGTACCTTGCAAGGTTTCATAGTACCTTTTCAAATTCCCATTGGTTTATGTGTTGAATGATACAACAAGAAACGGTTGGTGGGTGCATGGTAAGTGTTCATCTATGTGCAAATGTAACTGCTTTTGTTTAGACATCGGAGTGAAACAAAAGCTCCTGCACTTCCTTAGGGCTATGGCCGTTGAACTCCAGGACTGTCCCTTGTTTGAGGGGCTTTTTTTCTGTTCTTCTGGTGCATTGTACGGCCTGCGTGCCCTGCCGTTCCCGTCATTCTTTGGGGATGACCTGCCTGGTATACACAAGTCCTGAAGGTGAATCTGTAACTCTTCCCCTCTTCTTTCTTGTTTTCCCTAGTGAGGCTGTCTGGGAGAACATGGCTCGCATGTGTGTGAAGACTCGGAGACTGGATGTTGCCAAAATCTGCCTTGGGAACATGGGTCATGCCAGAGGGGCCAAGGCGCTGAGGGAGGCCGAACAGGAACCCGAGCAGGAGGCCAGAGTGGCTGTGCTGGCCATTCAGCTGGGCATGCTGGTAAATCCTGTCAATCCTGCACATCCTGCAATATCCCCACACTTTAAATAGGAAATAGAAATGAAAATTGGCCATTTTTGAACAATCTGAGAAAGATGCAGAAACCCTGTTAGAGGCATGAAGCCTGTGACCTGTTATCTAAGAAATAATGACGAATGGTCCTGACCATTATTTTCTTGATGTTGAGTTTTTATATTATACAATTAGAGGGTCCCCTTCAACATTTTGTGATCCAGTGCTGCGCAATTACTGTGTCATACTGAGGAATATCTTACTCTGCAGTCAATGTCAGATTTCTCAAGGCTCATCACTCTTGTGAGCCCTTTTCTTCTTCCCTGGTGCCTAAATGAGAACGAGCAGGGCAGAATCCCATACCTGAGAGTATTGTGAATCATAGCAGCATAAGGTAAAGCAGATTATTTTTTCAGTCTTCTTAACTGCTCTGCAGAAAACATGTAGGAAGAACACTGCTGAATGAAGGAATCATCTGAAGAATGGTGTATATGCGAAACATGAAATGTGCAATCTTATCAAGTGTTTTTCTTGAGGTCTGACTCTTCCAAGCTTAATCAGCAGCACAGCCCAAGTTGCAGCTTCCTGCCCCAAGGGTGCTGGCATGGAGGTGGTTGGAAGTCAGATTTGCTGCCTCTGCTATCTTGGGCTTGACTGCTCCCCTCCACTCCCCCAAATTTCCATCCTGATTTTTCCCGAACTGCTACTGGTAACAAGTAGTGGAGCTTGACTGGCTTCTAGTGCAAAATCTGCCATTGAGCTGCTCTGCCACCTCCTCGCAGGCCAGTGCACTGGGTAAAACTGTCCCCTCTGCCTCTGCCTAGAGCCTTGCCTTGCAGTGAACACACACCAAACTGGAACTCATCTTTCTACCTGTCCTTTAGTCTGAATCCACTGCTTTTTGAGTACTGTATTTGATTTTTGTGGATTGAGAACAGACTGGAGCAGGCACAAATAATAAAAGCATGTATTTTGCTAAGTTAGCCTTTATTTGATATCTTCCTCAGTGATCTGTAAGAAAAAAATGAAGAGATTTCTGTTTTGGAAACAACAAAGGATGAACACATCCAGGCCAAACGGTCAGAGGGAGGGAGAAAGTGGGAAAGCAGAACAGATGAAATATCCCCCAGTTTATAGCAGGTTATAAATTAGGCACAAACTGGCAATGTGATTTGATGGTAAAACCAGCCAGATCTGTTTGGGGCTGCGTTTGCAGAGACATCACATCCTGGAGCTTTGGTGTGACAGATCTGCCCGTGCAGTTGTTGCAGCTGCCACTGGAATGTTGCCTTCAATCCTTAAGTACCTCATTACCATGAAAAATGTTGATTAACTGGAAGATGTTCAGAGAAAATCAGTGCAAATTGTTAAGCCCCGGCAAGATTTCATGAACAAGGAACCCTTTAAAATAGCCCAATGGTTAGCATTTGGCTTAAAGAGATATTTTGCAGACTACAGCTATTGTAGGAGTATAAATGCTAGAGCGGAAGAGGAATGATTCTGAACTAAAGTTAAGAAAAGGGAAGTCCAAACTAAATATTTGTAAAAGCTTCCTGATAGAGAAAATTATGAGGCTGAAAAGTGGTAGCATTCCTTCTCTTGGATATTAAAATCCACCTGGAGAGATGGAGGGGAAATCTAGTAAAACTAATGTTTTGTCACTTCTTTCCTTTCCTACAGTAATAGAATTGTAGTGTAGACATCTTCCATCCCTGATTTCTATGGTTTTTTGAATTCAAAACAATAAGACACAGAAACTATTTTTCTGTCTTGGACAGATAATCTGCATCCGCTAAATATAGTGCTCAGCTAGACAGCAGCTGGGTGGAGCAGGAAAAAGCTTCTTCCACACGAGAACCTCTCAATGTGTAAAAATATTCATTCTAAATTAGCTTGCCCAGCATGGGCAAAGCCATCCTGTTCTATTTCCCTCTGAAATTAATAGCGTTTATCCCCAGGAACGTCGGTCAATTGTCCAAGAGCAGAATTCCTACTTCTAAAGACCTCCTTGGAATTCACGGGCTTCCCCTGGCCCTTATTGTGTCCTTCTTGGCAGGACACCTACCAGCCAGGACCTCTGTGGGCGCCCAGATTGAGCCCTCGGGTGGGCAGCCCCACACGAACGTCTCTTGCCTTTCTGAAAACACTTTGACAGCCCGCTCGATGCTCAGCTGCTGATAGGTGCACTCGATAGTGCACAGTACATGCCAGGATCTAAGTGCTTTCCTTGTTTTCACATCAACATCCTGTTTCCCAGTGACGTGCTATTCCAGGCCATATGTATTTAGTTGGTTAACACCTCTCCTTCTTTCCCTTATCTGAGTTATTATTCTTTAGGTGCAATGCCATGTTCTGCACTAATAAATGCTCAGCAGCGTGGTGCCCGTTGTGAACCACTGCTTGGATGGGCGCTCCTGAGACCCCCGTGGAGCTGACGTTGTCTTCATGCCCTTTCCCTCCAGGAGGACGCGGAGCAGCTGTACATGTCTTGCCAACGCTACGACCTCCTGAACAAATTCTACCAAGCCTCAAACCAGTGGCAGAAAGCGATCGAGACAGCGGAGCGGCACGACCGGGTCCACCTCCGCACCACCTACTACAACTACGCCAAGCACCTGGAGGCCACTGGGGACCACGGCCTTGCGCTCACCCAGTAAGTGCCAGCCTCAGGTGCCATTGCATATACAGGGGATTTGGAGCCTGGGGAGACTAGAGGCAGGTTAAGGAGGATATCTGGTGAGGACTATTAATAATTAATTAAAGTCTTTTCCTGTTTCTAGTGCTTTCCATCTTGGAGAGTGAAAGCATTGTCACAATAAACTTCCTAATAAAACTAAGAGTCGGAAAGGTTAAGTGTCTTCTCAGAGGCCACTTACTGTAGTGGAACTCCAATAATATCTAATCCTGTACTTGTCTCTGTAAGACCACTGCCCTTTTCCTTCCTTTTCCATGACAAAACCATTCGTTATTTACTATTCCCAGACACAACTGGTATGGTAGAACTTAGTCTGATTTGAGTGCACGTTGCCTCCAGGCCTCTCCTGTGACGGATGGGTCCATGGAGAGGTTAGCAGAGCTGACTTTTCATGCGTGGTACTCATTGTAAATCTTGCTTTTTGCATGGTGATGTCTTCTGCTACCTAATAAGATCACTTCCATTCAAAAGCAAAGGCGAGTTCTGGTGTAATTAGATCTGTGAGCTGATCAGGTGTGGTGAGGAGTTGAGGACAGACTGGAGCAGGAGGTGGCTGCATAACTGCAGTCACCTCCCAGGAGCGGAAACGAGACTGAAACTGCACTGAATGGCAGCAGGACTAGGTGAGAGGAGGAAGGCAGAGCTTCTGCTACCCTTCCAGCCAGATTCAAAGCACTGAATAGCATCATGTCTGAGGATCTCACTTGGAGCGTCACCAGCACTTTGTGTGAAAGTATTCACAATGTAGCGATCATGTTGCCTCCACAATTCCAGGCGCCTTGCAGGAGCATCCTGCCTTTCATTTTTGATGGTGCTTTTGGTGGTGCAACTGGTCTTGAGGTGAACTGAATAATACAAATGAAGCGGTGTTGCCAGCATTGCTGCTCTGTAGCAGACAGACAAAACTAAATGCATTTACAAAGGAAGGGAGATGCTTCTCATAAGGTAGTCATTTCACATCTAGCATGGTCTTTTTCTGTGCAGTTACGAGAAGTCGGACACGCACCGGTTTGAGGTACCTCGAATGCTCTCCGAAGACTTGCAAGCCTTGGAGAACTACGTCAACAAGATGAAAGACAAGTTAGTGCTGTGGTCATTCCTTCTCCTCAGTGGGACTTTCAGGTCTGAAACACATTTTGTGAGGAGAGCAGGGAAGGAGCAATATGAATCCTCTCAGTTGCACGTTCAGCCCCAGCCTCATGCATTGTTATTCTGGCACAGCTTTCTAGGATACGCGCTGCATCTTACCTGAGAACTGCCACACTAGGTTACCTCTTCTGAAGTCCTTTTGAGTGCAAACCTGTGAATTTGGGTAAAGCTTGTCCACATTCCAAAAATGGATCTATTCTTAAAGTCAGCACCGCCAGAAGTGAGGAATCCATTGCTGTGGTAAATATTGCTACTGCACTTGATTTTGTTGCTTTTCTAGGAACCTCTGGAGATGGTGGGCACAGTACTTAGAGAGCCAGTCAGAAATGGAAGCTGCACTCAAATACTATGAACTGGCTCAGGACTATTTTTCCCTGGTGCGTGTGCACTGCTTCCAGGGCAACATTCAGAAGGTAGGGCAGCCTTGCACCCTTCTGCTTGCAGAAAATTCCTGTTCCTAGGAGGCATGTTGGCACAAAGTAAAGACATGGTTTTTCTTTCAGGCTGCTGAAATTGCGAATGTAACAGGGAATTGGGCTGCATCGTATCACTTGGCCCGTCAGTATGAGAGTCAGGATGAAATCAAGCAGGCTGTGCATTTCTACACCAGGGCCCAAGCATTTAACAACGCCATTCGCCTGTGTAAGGTATGGGAAGATGTATATTTATGTCGAAAAACAAAGCAGGGCTCTGTCTTTAGGTAGCACACAGAATAAAATGGTTACAATCAGTTTGTACCCATTTTCTTTTCCAAGTGGGAGACACTGCTTGCTCAATAAGCACAGCTGGTGAAGATGCTCCTGGATTCTCCCTACATCTTTTAATAAGCTGTGTCAGCAAAGGGATGCTTGTAACAAAGAGATTGTTTCCTTGTCATATATCTCGACAGAAAAATACCTCGAACAAATTATCAACTTTCCAAGTTATTTGGGTTGCAATAGATTTTAGATAGAAGATGGCTGCTGTGTGACAATATCAAGCTGGAGCCTGGATAGAATTGTGTATCTGTTTGCTGCTTACCTAGAGGCATACCTAGAGCCAAATCTTTGCTTTTGCATAGGAGAACAATTTAGATGATCAGCTGATGAACCTGGCTCTTCTGAGCTCTCCAGAAGACATGATAGAGGCAGCCTGCTACTATGAGGAAAAGACAGAGCAAATGGACAGAGCTGTCATGTTGTACCACAAGGTAAATGGCTCAGTAAAAATATCTGACTGGATGTTGAAGCAGTTTCTCCAGCAGAGGAGCATTAAATAAACTGTAGGTCTGACTGAGCGCTATTCATCACTCATAAACCTGGTGGGATCTTAATTCTGTATGGTATCCTATCCACTGGTTCTGTAGTTCTTCCTCTGCTCTTTAAAAAATCACCCTTACCTTTGCAGGCAGGCCACTTCTCCAAAGCACTGGAGCTTGCCTTTGCCACCCAGCAGTTCGGGGCCCTCCAGCTAATTGCTGAAGACCTGGATGAGAAGTCAGACCCGGCGCTGCTGGCCCGCTGCTCTGACTTCTTCATCGAGCATGGCCAGTATGAGAAGGCCATAGAGCTGCTGCTAACAGCCAGAAAGGTAGGTGCTTGCGTTGTGCTCTCTCCATACCTAGGGAAAGAAGAGCACAACAGGGGAGTACACACGCATTTCATGCGTGCACACACATTTCTCTTTGTTTATTAGCAGATATGCGATGTTTTTTTAAGCTTTAAAGTTTCCTCTCACGGTGATGATTCACACGGTGGTATCCGCTTGGCTCTAGAAAAAAATCCCTGACTTTGTGTCTGCTTTCTGCCCGAAAATCGTGAGACTTCATGCTGTTGGGCAAAAAAAAAAAAAAAAATCTTTCTAAACCATTTGGAGATGGATAAATTTTAATTAGATCAGTCAAAAATCAGTGACGACCCTCCTATCACAACATCAGTGTAGTCAAGGCTCTTTCTTCCTGTCTTCTCCCTTCTTCTGCTGTGCTGACAGCTGAGCCCTACCAAAATGCTGGGCACAAGAGCGTGCTCGCCTGTGTTAAATTCTGTTAGAATTTGTACCACTCTGCAGTCAATGCTTCTGCAGGTTTGCAGCAGCCCATTGCTTTCTCCCTTCCTTTAGTACCACGAGGCCCTGCAAGTTTGCCTGAAGCAGAATCTGACCATCACGGAGGAGATGGCTGAGAAGATGACAATTGCTAAGGACTCCGAGGACATCTCCGAGGAGTCGCGGAGGGAGCTGCTGGAGCAAGTTGCTGATTGCTGCATGAGGCAAGGCAACTACCACATGGCGACCAAGAAATACACCCAAGCAGGAAACAAGCTAAAGGTCAGTCTGGATGGGTAGAAGAAAAACCTGAAGAGGCTGAACAGCTTTATCTTTACAAGCTTTCTGCAATAAAAAAAAAGAGTATTTTGATAAGTAAGTCTTGGGACAGTCTTCATACAATAGAGTATCTGGAAAGGGGAGGATTCCTGGCCACCTGACTTTGCTTTTTCATTCACAATGGTATTTTTTGCCTTCCCACTGCCAGGCTATGAGAGCACTGCTGAAATCTGGAGACACAGAGAAAATTGTGTTTTTTGCTGGAGTCTCCAGACAGAGAGAGATTTATATCATGGCAGCCAACTACCTGCAGTCACTGGACTGGCGCAAGGACCCTGAGATTATGAAGAACATCATTAGTTTCTATACCAAAGGAAGGGCCCTCGATCTGTTGGCAGGCTTTTATGATGCTTGTGCTCAGGTACCTTCCCCTGCCCTGTAATTCTTCAAGGCATTTGGTTTGTCAGCTCTGAGAAGAGCGTCCCAGCTCATTTGTCTTCTTGTAGGTGGAAATTGATGAGTACCAGAACTATGAGAAAGCACAAGGAGCGCTGACAGAGGCATACAAGTGCCTTTCAAAAGCAAAAATGAGAAGCCCTCTGGAACAGGAAAGCAAAATAGCTCTTCTGCAAAGCAAGATGGCCCTGATCAAGCGATTCATCCATGCTCGGAGGTGATTTGTAATTCAGAACGTGTAGACTAATGATAACAGCAGCACCTAGGAGGAAAAGTTGCCTCACTTAGTACCCCAAGTTTAATAAATAGTGTGGAAAAGATTCATGTCTAAAAACTATTGTTAGATTTTTGTGGTAAGACAAGCATATGTGATTTTAAGTGTTGTTGACATTCAAGACCGAAAGGTGACTTTAAATACGAGTAATTCTGTTGATCTGTGAAAGTGTAGCTCTCTCCTCTGCACTAACGTGCCAGAAAGGTGCTTATGAAGCATACATGGTCCAGAAATTTTCCACGTGCTTCACATGAGAAGCTGAAGGCTCTCCCCAGCACCTCAAGACTGTGAATAATTTCACTTTGTCTCTTACTAGAATTCACTCTGAAGACCCCACAGAAGCAGTGAGACAGTGTGAGCAGCTCCTGGGGGAACAAGATCTCGACAGCACCATCCGTCGCGGGGATGTCCTGGGGTTTCTGGTTGAACATTATTTGCAAGTGGAAGATTTCCATACAGTAAGTTAATTCCTAGTACAGTCCAGAGAATTCTCCAGTCCAAAGGCCTGCACCTCATACACATCAGTGTAGCTTGGCATAGCACCCTTTGTAAAGAAACCCACGAGAGCTAAACTGTTTGGCAGGATAAGGAATACTTAAGGATGCATCACTGAATTAGTGTGTATTTTTAATTTCATGTCATTGGAGGGCAAAGCAAGCTCACAGGACATGGAGCGTAACAGAGTGGTTACTCCTTAAACTTTTTCTATTAATAGCAACGAGAACACAGAGGCCTGGGTGCATTTCTCAGCAATTACACTGTACTTGTTTGCCACCTGGCCAAAGAAGAAAAAAATAAATTTGTAAAATTGCAGGCATTTGAGGAAATGGTGAGTCACTTCACAGCAGGAAGTGCCACACACAAAGCGTTTGACTGAAACGTAACCTGCTGCTATTATGAACTTGGCCTCTGTGAAGCGCTAGATCCTCCAACCGTGCTGATTAACCTGACTTGTAGTGTGTGAAGGTTTAAGAAGTATTGCACATGCAGCATTTGATGCTGCTTCAGCTATCGGGAGAACATAGAGCTAGCACTCAAGAACCCTTTTCTTTCTTAAAAGACAAAGCTAGTATTGACACAAATCACTAAGAAAGGTCATTTTGTTGTCAGCAATGGCTCTAACTCCCGGCTCCCTCCCACCATGAGCTGGAGTCATCGGGCAGGCTGCTTTCCATCCTTTGGCTCCACACTCCTCACCAGGGATCTCTGTGCATTTCCTTAGGCTTACCGCTACCTGGAAGAGATGCGGAAGAGAATTCCAGGGGGGAACCCGACCTACTTTGTGCCTCAGCAGACCATCGAGGCCGTTCACCGAGGAGCCGGCGTCCCCTTGAGCCGAATCCTGGCGCCAGAGCAAACTGGGCACAGCAGCATGGAGACCAAGGAGGTGGAGGAAGAAGTGGCTGATGAACTGGAGGACCCCTGACACCTTGGACTCACCAGAGGCAAAACTGACTTCAACACTAGGTCCTATCTTCTCTCCTCAGGAGGGGTCATGTATCTATCAACTCGCTGCTGCAGGAGGTTTATTAGTTTCTTTGAAAGAAATGTATTTTTTTTCTCCTTGATGATTGTACAGCACCATTATATACTATTTCAAACACTTATTGCCACAACTCAAATGTACATACACCGTTTTGAAACTGTCTTTAGTATTTTAATAAACCTGAGGAAAAAAAAAAAAAGAATGGAAACTCTGTATTGTAATGTGAGGCCTAGCCTGGATCTAGAGAAGAGTTCTGTAACTGAAGTGGAAACTCCTGACTGCACAAACTTGCTTTGATCTGATAACGTGTTAACCTATTTGTCTTTTCAGAACTTGACTTCCAAGGAAACAATTTCTGTCCCACTTGAGTACAAGCTTGGGTAAAAGGAAGCTTTTATATATGAACATCAGGAAGCTTTTATATATGAACATCAAAGGGTCATCTTAGAACCTCACCGGGAAGCTTCTTTTCCAACCACCACAGCTAGCCAGGCTGCTCTGTACTAGTCGTATTTGAGGATGCAAGTTCTTCCCTGGCACGAGCAGGATTAGCCAGAAGTGGAACCAAAATAAAGGTGAGCAAAATCTTGGTTGCTTTAAGCCTGTTATCCTCTCACATCAAATAAGCTGTATTTACAAAGACCCACCCATGTGCACACATTTTGTACTAGCCATCTCTTCTGCTTAGACACAAAGTGTTGATGACTTGCTTCAATATTTGGGGTCACTTGGAAGTTATTTAAATTCTGTGCTTTTTTGGGCATATTTGAAGACCAAACTCTGGCCATTATCTGTGCTCCATTATCTGCGCTTTAACAGAAGCTTTTTTTGGTACTAAGATGATCTGAAAAGCCCTGCTGTGCTTGCTCCCCAGCACAGTGCAGGCTCCGGAGGCTGCCCGGGAAGGCCGGGCGTGCTCCCGTAGCGGCGCCGCAGCCGCAAGGAACGGCTCGTCCACGGCAGCGGGGCCGCTACCACGCCAGCGCAGCGCCGCGCTGCTAGGAGACACAGGAGCCTCTGCTAGGGGATTCCATGTCCTTGCCCCCCAGGAGCTGAGCGGCTGGTCCCAGCCCTCCTGTTTTCCTGACAAGAAGCCTGCTCCGAGATCAACTCGGTATTTTTAGCCGAGCACTCAGGTTATAAATAGCCGGGGGTGGGGGCTGGAGGTGTGAGAGGATGGCAGCGCTCGCTACCTTCCTGCATCTGTACAGGCCGTACCGGATGGCAGCAGCTCACTAAATTGGCCTCCACTACAAAGTCCAGATGTCAAGTTGGGTTCTCCGGCTCCCAGCTCTGCACCCTTCCCCCTCCTTCCTCTTGCCCAGCCAGGTGACTGCAGAGGCCCCTGCGGTGCCTAGAGGCATCCAGCTGGCAGGAGTGTGAGGTAGAGGTCACTTCTACCCTTCAACTAGGAAGGGGCAGTTTCGAGTTTCTTTTTCAGATTCTCCATTAGCAGCAAGTTCTGTAAGGCCAGCCTCCGGCAGTCCCCGTCTGGGTCTTTCTCCACCACATCTGTAAGAGAGGAAGAGACGGTTATTTAGGAGCTGGCAAAAACTGCTCTTGATCCAAAACTCCTCTACGCTTTCACTGGCCATCACTAAACAGTACTAAATGCAACAGCAAAAAGGCTCATGCTGTTCTTGCAGCAGAAGCAAGTAACCCATGGGGTGCGACACGTACAGCGACTGCCTAACCTTGCATTCGATTGAGCGACCGCCCTGCCCAAGCTTCGGCTTCCGCACTCAGGAGGTTTGTTACCTCCCTAGAGCTGCTCTGCAAGCACAGATGCAGTTTGCAATTAGAAACCCCCTCGCTCAGGGGCCTGTCTCCACTCCGCCGATTCCTGCAGAACAAGCAAGTGCTCAGTGGCCACAGCTCTTTAGAGAGAGGAAAGGCAGAGGCAGCTGCTGGGTTTCAGCACATTATGAATCCTTGCAGACCTGCTCTTCTGGTAAACTAGCGGTTCTGTCCCACCTCAGGCAGCATGGAAGGGAAGGCTTTTGCCTCGCACCAGGGCATGAAACTGCTCCAGCAGCTGTTATTTCAGGGGCGCTTAATGAGCCTGCAAAGTAAAAACCAGGATGCACTCAGGATGTCGGAGCACAGGGAGCCTGGAAGAGCAGAGAGCCTGTGCAAGGAAATCCTGTACGCACGAGCGGTGTGCTCAGAGCCCCGCGCTGTCAGCCCAAACACATGACTCACGCAGATGCAGCAGGGCTATTTATAAACACCGGAGAGAGGCCGTGCTGTTTCCAGACTCCCTCTACAGAAGGGGGAGGCTACAAGACGGGTTAGTACAAACCCATCAGCTCCCAACCCGAGACGGACACCGTTTCCAATTGCATCAGCAGGGACCTTGAACTGGCTCCACAGAAAGGGAGGCACACAGGGCAATGCCAGGGCTTTCAGATCCTTACAGAAAACAAACGTGCCTGGGACACAGCTCTGCAGCGTGTGCAAGGGCTAGGAAACGCCCTCCAAGGCAGCTGCTGAGCAATGGAAGTATCTGATTCCTAGAAACGCTCGGCCTTCTGCCCCACAGCCTCCCCAAAAAGAGCAGACTACTGAATGGCAGCTCCAGCCTAGTAGCAAGGGGAAGGACAGAGAAATACGAGGCAGATTTTAGCCTCCTGCTTAAGCAGGAGCTGTGCCAAGCTCTCCTGTGTTTCCCTTGTTGTTCTTCCCAGCTCCTGCAGCAGATCTGATCTGCATTGTCTTGTGTGGCAGAGGCCCAAGGCAGCAGCCAGCCCCAGCTCTACGCCGTGACCCCGTCACCAGAGCAGCTGTTGGTGCCTCGCTGGTGCTAGTGGAGCAGCAAGGGGGGCAGCACCGCCTGGTAAGAGCTGTCTGATCAAAGAGCTTGCACCAAACAGCCAACGCAGAGCCCAAAGGGCAGCTCTATTTCAAGGTGTAGCTCTAAGAGCAGAGCTAAGTTTTAAATTGCACTTAAGTATTTGACCAGAATTGGAGCTGAATTGTATTCCTTGGGGTTTCTGAATGGCTCCTACAGCAATTCCCCTCTCTGTGCTATACAGGGACAAGCAGGGTCTTATCCTGTTGCCATTCTCACCAGAATCAGAAGCACAATTCCCACACAGCAGTGCTACGTGAAGTGGCTATTGCACTATCTACAGGCGTAAAGGGATGCTACTACCTCAGTTGTCCTCCTGCCAAAAATAACTCATTAAAGTGGACTGCACAGACCTTCATGCTGAAAAGACATTGAAAACATTCCTGGAAAGGCTCTGCTTACAGCAGAGAGACGCAGATTCCTCAGAGTACACCATAGCATGGGAAAAGCCAAGTTTTTGGCCCCAAAGGGCAGCTCCCTTCCTTTGAAAGTGCAGAGAGCTCCAAAATCTGCAGCGATCAGAGGCCGCCTGTGTCACTGTCACTTCCTGCCTGCTCCCTGTGGGCAGCCAACTCACCAAGAGCGAGGCTGGCGAAGGAAACCAGCCCTGGGAGGCCCACGAGCTCCACTCCGAATACAGGGGCGACACAAAGAGCACACCATGATTTCCTCTCGTACTCTTGCACACTGTGATCCTCAACCCCTGATTTGAGGGCTTGGGTAGAGTGGGAGTGCACAGAAACAACAGTCTAGAAACCACACCTCTTCCCTCCGCACAAGCTAGGGCATCATCCACAGGCTGCCATCTGCACCAGGAAGGTAGAAAACAGGGACACATTTGTCTTCCTTCTCTTACTCGGCACTGGTGAAACACATCCTTTAAGCACAGAGGGCCCTACGAAGCACTATGTATTACTTGTGGTGCTACCACCACCATTTTAAAAAGGATTCTGTGTGCACGCAGAAGCACTAAGTGGCGAAACGCTGACGTGCATCACCCCTTACCTGCCAGCCAGCACCGAGTCTCCACGAGCACTTCTGCCACGTCTTCCAGAAGATGTGCAGCAGGGACACTGAGGAGTACGGAGGAGATGCAGGACAGGAGACCCTGGCGCACATACCTGTTGGAGAACAACTGAATTCTAAAAGCTGCAGCTTCTTGCTGTAATTTCCTTAATATTCCTCTTCTGAAAAGCCCTCCAGGTCCCACTGTTTGTGATGACAATCACTGCCGTCACATCGTGCTGATCTAGGGTTTGATGACACAACTAGCTGGCATACTGTCCATACACACAGCCCCAGCCAAGGTGTGGTTCAGGGAATCTAGCTGAATTCAGAGGCCTAGAGCAGTCTTGAGGTTGAACAGCGTTTTGGCTACATGTCTTGATTTCCTTCTAAGGTTGAATGTGGGAATTCAAGCTATCAGATTTTCTGAGGTCCATGAAATATCACCAGGATAGCTCATCCAGAAACTTCTCATGCTTGTTACAGGTAATGTGTGTGCATGTGTGTCCCTGCACAACAGAAGACACTAGCTAACTATTTTTATGTTGCCCTGGCAATGATGTGACAACTTCATTGTAAATTTCAGAATTTCAGAATATTTCAGAATATTTAAGGTTGGAAGGGACCTCTACAGATCATCTAGTCCAACCTTCCTGCTCAAGCAGGCACACCTACAGCATGTGGCACAGGGTGGCATCCAGGCGGGTTTTGAAGACCTCCAGAGTAGGAGACTCCACAACCTCCCTGGGCAGCCTGTTCCACTGCTCTGTCACCCTAACAGTAAAGAAGTTGCTCCTCACCTGGAGACGGAACTTCTTGTGTTTCAGCTTGTGGCCATTACCCCTCGTCCTATCGCTGGCCACCAGTGAGAACAGCCTGTCCCCTTCCTCCCTGCATTCTCCCTTCCTGAACTTATACATATTAATCATATCCCCTCTGAGCCGCCTCTTCTCCAGAGAAAACAGGCCCAGCTCACTCAGCCTCTCTTCATACGAGAGATGTTCCATTCCCTTAATCATCCTGGTTGCCCTTCTCTGGACCCTCTCCAGAAGCTCCACGTCCTTCCTATAGTGGGGTGCCCAGGACTGAACACAGTACTCCAGGTGCGGCCTCACCAGAGCTGAGTAGAGGGGCAGAATCACCTCCCTTGACCTGCTGGCAACACTCCTCCTGATGCAGGCCAGGATCCCATTGGCCTTCTTGGCCACGAGGGCACACTGCTCACTCATGGTTAACTTAGTGTCAACCAGGACTCCCAGGTCCCTCTCCGTGGAGGTGCTTTCCAGCAGGTCAACCCCTAATCTGTACTGATGCCTGGGGTTATTCCTCCCCAGGTGCAGGACCCTGCACTTGTCTGAACCTCTGCCCAACTCTCCAGCCTGTCCAGGTCCCTCTGGATGGCAGCACAGCCCTCCGGAGTGTCGGCCACTCCACCCAGCTTGGTGTCATCCGCAAACTTGCTCAGGGTGCATTCCGTGCCCTCGTCCAGGTCGTTGATAAACAAGTTGAACAGCACTGGGCCCAGTACTGACGCCTGGGGGACACCACTGGCCACAGGCCTCCAGCTGGACTCGGCCCCATTTATGACCACCCTCTGAGCTCTGCCATCCAGCCAGCCCTCGATCCACCGCACCGTGCAAATTCTTGCTCTTGAAACACTCAATGTCATAAGAAGAGAAGGCAGGAGGACAGTAATATGAATGAAGAATTCACTAAGTCACGAGTACGCTGAGGGCAGTGCTGCTCTTGGACACAGATGAGCCGTGTTTGCACACCAGGCTCAAAGCTGAGCTTTAAAACTGAAACCAGATCCAACTCACGCGTCAGTGTGGAAACGCAGAGCCCAGACGAACTCCAGCAGTGCCTTTCCCATGGGGGTGACTACCTGTGAATGAGGGTTGAGAGAGAAACGCTGATTGCAGCGCTGCTAGCCTGCGGAACCATACCTCAACATACACTGCTGGGAACAGCAGGGTTGCCTTTAACGCCCTTTTACACATGAGGAAAATAAGACAGTGACATGAAACAATGTCTCAAATGTTCTATAACAGCTGACAGAAAAGCTCTCCAAAAGAGCAGGAGTGCCCAGATCTCTTCTGACCATCTTTTCTTAGCCCTTTGTGCAGCTCCTCAGCCCAGGGACTCCGACTTGCTCCTAGTCTGCGTGTCACAAGCCCTGGAGCTCCCTGTGAGGGGAAGGGGGCTCCTGCTCTCTGCATGCCTGCGTCGCCTCTCTTACCACAGCACTGGCAGCCAGGTACATCAGGATTGCCAGCGTGTGCACCAATCTTCCAAGCACAAAATGATCTTCTCCCAGGAGATCAAACGTTGACAGGGGCCTGCAARATACACAATCCTGGAGCAAGGGCACAGCTGCCCGGTGCACGGCACAACGGCCAGGTGGCTATGACTGTCCCACGCGAGCTGCTAAAACAATCCCAAAACAATCACTTTAATAGAGTGATGCCCAATTTGTTTAAGAGAGGCCCCAGTTCCTTTCTCCCATCTTTGCTGTAAATGTTCTCCACTCTTAGAGCAGGTCTCACTTATTCTACATACAAATGTACTGTTAAAGCTAAACCCTGTTTTGGGGGTTAGTGTGAGCCTYCCCCTGTAAGTGCTCAACCAAGATACTGTTCAGGATCCCAATCATCTCCTGTGCAACCTCCCTACAGGTTCTTCTTAGTACTGTAGATTTGCTTACTGCAAGGTCTTACCTATTCCTTACCCCCAAAACTGCACAGGGTGTCTGAGAGCCGACCCCGAACGCCCTGCGTGTGCCAGGCCTCAGCTCTGCGCCCTCGCGGGACCCGCAGGCAGGCCCGTCACCGTGGCCACTGTCCTGTCCGCAGCGCAGGGCCCTCACACCCACCTGTCAAAGTTCTGGATCAGGGGGAAGAAGAAGTGTCCAGCTACAGAATTGAACTCGTTTGGGCCTGCATCCGTTTCCGCTTGAGACTGACCCTGTCCAAGAGAAAACTGAAGTCTAGATACAGCACTGCACAGGTCCTCCTAAATACCTCAGTGCAATACAGCTCAATCCTGCTGGGCTAGATACAAGGGACAAGAACATGGGGAAAAGAACAAGGGTTAAAAGAGCTCTGGAAAGCAACTCTTCCAAAACGAACCATAGTGGAGTTGTGGGGCCTAGGAAATGGGCATCAATTTATCTTCATCTCCCAAAAAGGAAGCTTGAGGCTACAGTCCAGTGCAGGGAGACCTGGTCTGAAAGCAGCAGCTCGGAGGCCCGTGAGGTGCAGCCACAGCTCCCTGCAGCGGCCGGACACGCTCCAAACAGGCACAGRAGAGCAGCCACCACCTTGCAGTGCAAGAGTTCAAGGTTTATTATCCTCTCCCTGCTGGGAGAGGACTATGGGAAATGATACTTCCCACCGGAAAAGATTAAAGTGGAACTGGGGTTTTAAGTCATATAGTCAGAAAGAAAAAAAAAAAAAAAATCAAGGAGTGGCAACACAGCCCCAGTTTGGGAACAGCCTTTCCATTCATGTGAGAAGCACCCCATTTCAGGAAAAATCCTGCTTCCTCTTGAGTGATCAACAAACCCATTGGCTTGGATCCAACTTGATGGATAGTTTGCCCTTTTTAGCTAGAAATCCAGCAGCTGCGGAAGTCCCTTCAACCRTCTCTACTTTCGCAGGACTTTACATTACTAGGTTTCTGTTCTGCTTTTACCTTAGCAAACCTTCGTGTCTTGCTTTTGATCCTCTCATCAACAATCTGTCTCCAGCCCTTGGAAGAGCTGCTTTCGGGAAGGAGCTGGATACAAGGTTTCTGAGCATTAGATGGCTTGTTCTTCCCATAGAATTTGGGAGAAGACATTTCCTGAGCTGCCAAAACCAATACCTACAGGAAAAAGAGTGAGGTTGCATTAGAAAGGGATAACCCCTGTACTAGGGAACAGCAACAATAACAGAATTACCTACTCTCAAACTGATACCAAAGCAGAAAGGGTCAGTGGGGGTAAGAACCAAGAACAACAGGGCAGGTAACTGATCCCCAGCCAAACAACTGGCTCTGAGGAATTGCGCCAAATGCTCCAGCACTTGACCCTGGAACAGAGCAGGGATTCCCTGTTGAGGCACAAGTGAAAGGGTGTGGAAGGAGACACCTTGCAGAAGGTGACAAGGTAACAGACTGGTGACAGGAAAGACTGACTTCTTCTAGGAAATGCCCCCGACACGCGTGATGGGAGAAGAGCACTCACGTCGAGGATGTCCATGCGCTGTCGAAGGCTGTAGTTCAGGGAGTAGAACTGAGAGGTCAGGTACTGCGCGACCTGCACACGTGAAAAAGAAAGTTGAGAAGCAGAGAGCACAACCCCAGCCTGGGAATGGCCTTCCCACTCATTCCCAAAGCAGTCTGTTCCAGGAAAAGTCCTGCTCTCTGGTAGTGAACCAGAAGCCTCCAAGAGAAGAAAGGGCCAGAAGTATGTGAGAATGGGAAATTCAGAGGTTTCTACTTCTCAGTGCTCCCACAGGATGTGAATGACAAACAGGACCGCTGTTCTTTGGCACTTCCCACACAGAGGTAGCCGAAGAGCACCCAAGCCTTCTCTTAGAGAAACCATGTTTGCCACAGCTTCCCTGTACGTGAAACAACCTCCCTTTGGTGCAACAAGCTCAAATTGTTGCAATCTTTTCCCTTTCCTCTAGTTTCAGTCATCCTTGGGTACGTAGCCCACCTCTGCATAAATGCTGTCAGACATCAATCCTAACGCATGCCAGGAAGTGCCTCCACTCGGCTAGCAGGAGACTTGCCTGCTCAAATCCCTGCCTCTGCCTCTATCAGAAAAAAAAGGAAGCACTAAGGGAGACTCACAGGTATGGGATCAGTGGTTAAAACAGCTACTTGGGCTTTCTGACGGAGCACTGCAAAGCCTTCAATGCAGCTCTTCTCTTCCACATGCAGGAGGATTTTTGCCAGCTCCACACTAACCTGTTCAAAATAAAAGCAAAGGAATCAAATCGCTGCAGGTGTTTTCCTTCACATAGGATTTATGGAGCAGCATCCACTGTCCGTTCTTTTTTTTTTCAGGAAAGACAGTAAGGGAACAGAATACAGGCAACAGTACACCTATCACTTAGGAGACCGAGAAAACCCACAACGCTGAAGGCCATCGACCCCGATCTCTCACAGCACTGAGCAAAGCCCTCAGCTGACTTCTCTGTCCGTGCGTACTTTGTGAGACAGCTCTTGGGACAGGGGGAGACTCTCAGCACCATGAGAAGGAGGACTCGTCCCTGCAGCTCCCGGGTGAGTCACTTCAGTGCTGAGGTGGAACAGGGGCCCCGGGGAGCCCGTGCAGCTCGGTGCGAGGGCTGCCGCTGCTCGCTGCACTGCACGTCCTCCTGCACTCGGTGGCCAGAGGCTCCTGGCCTTGTACAGGCAAACAGGGAGGCTCCATTTGATTTTTCCTCCCCTTTGGCTGCTGTGTTGGTGTGATTAAGGCCTGCTCTGTAAATTGCATTTCTAATGGTTTTTCAGCCCAGCACAAAGGATGCAGCTTCCCACAGCCTCTGTGGGCTCAAGCTGCTGGCAGGAGCTACTTGCACACACATTTCATCTGCAGTGCAAGAGCTGCCAAATGCCATCCTGGCACCTTCCCATACATGCTGGCATCTTTGGTCACCTTTGCCAGCTCCTTTGCTCCTCTGTGCTATGTAGCCTCATCTCTAAAGAAGATATTCCCTTCTATTTCTCTTTCTAAATTGAAACCTTTAAACTCAGGTGCACTTGAGCTTGGCCTGCTGCTGGCAAGCTTAGTTTCTTCTCTCTCAGAGAAACCCTCTTTTACAGCCCACCGGTAACTGTCAGCCAACACTGCTTCACCTCTCTTGTAGCTGCTGGATTCTTTCGAATTAAGCCCTCGAGAGCCTTGATTGTAGCATCCCATTTGTGCACATCGTCAGACCCTGTCAGGACTAAGGGTAACCAGAAGACAAACAACAGCTGTAACAGAATGGTCAAGCTCAGGTAAATACCCCGGCCATCCTCTGCTAACCCAGCACATCACACATTAGGAACTAAATTTAGAAGTAAAATCCACCTACGCAGACCCCTTTCATAAAAGCATTAGGAGAATTAGATGAAAACTCRACCCAAATTCTCATACCTTCAATACAGTCACGAATATACACAGGAGCCTTAGTGCTCTTTATTTCTTTATCCTCTGACATGTCATAAGGGACAAGGTCGTCATCACTGTTAAAGGAACATATAGGCAAGAGTTGGTGCCCAGACATGCACACAAGAGGGAACGTTGCATTTCATATATTCTCCTAACACAGCTGCTCTTGCAGCATGCAGTAGCATTGCAGGAGCTTAACCTGCGAGGGATCAGGCAGCAAAGGAAATTCTCTTGGCTATAAGGCACAAGAGTATGTGGGACCCACGAAGAAACTCTCCCGTGAAATACCAAAACAGAGCACATGCCCTGCAAACAAGATACCAGCTTTGGTTGTTACGAGGTGTGTGTGTGTGTGAGGGAAGGATCTCGGGTTCTTTTGTTTCAGTCTAGGGACATTGTATAGGCATGGAATTCACCTATACAGGAGTAAATGTCTCTCCTGCAGTTCGTCTACACTTTAAAAGTAGTGGGACCAAATAAGCACTTCAAGGTTTTTCATCTTCTCCCCTAAACAGACTAAATAGAACACATGAATTGTGCCCTAGGACCACATGAATTGTGCCCATTACACTGACCACAGAGGAGACCATGGGGTCAGATTCAGATGAAAACACTTGTGCTGTGAATGTTTAAAACTAAGCAAGATGCAGGTTTTGAAGACTCTTGGCTGCAAAGTCAACACAACATTTCAGCTCTTAGCTTATTATTTTAAAGGGGAAACAGTGAGACCAAGAAAGTTGCTGAAATGCTTCTGCGAGTCAGGATCTTTCTTTATCGTGCGTGTACAGTGCCGAGGGCTTCAGAAAAGAAATCAAGGGAATTAATCACATGGAAAATTAACAAGAAATCCTTTCCACAAGGCGACCTGTATCAATTGTTTTTCCTGTCATCTACTTTTGCCACCTGCCTCATGAATGATGGAGTTGTGCTAAACATCGAACATTTGCTATCTAACAGGATTTAGGGGGAGGATTTTTTAACATTTCACTTAGATCCCTTACAACTACTTGATCCTGCTGGGCAACTTTTATTGCCTCTCTAAACCACAGCATCTAAACTCAACATAGATTCTTCGGTCACCTTATGAAGCCTTATGAATTACTCTAAAGCCAAGTGAAAGAGCAGATACAATAAATTCTCTAATAAAATGCACCAATATTCTATATTTCCATCGCATTCTGTCAGGAAACAGAAGTGACTCAAATGAAATAAATCGAATGGTTGTACTTGACGATCGTTTGACACAGGAGGACTGAAAACCACTCTCTGAGCAAGGTCTGCTCCCTCGTTCTTGTCAGAAAGCACAAGATTTGCCAACATAAGCAGGTACCAATAGCTCTGTTCTCTCCGAGCCTGCTCATAAGAACTTGCCGAGTATTTTCCATTTCCTACCAGCTTCTTGCCCCATGGCTTGTTCTAACACCTACCTGTCAAGCTCAGTATCTGACTCCTCCTCTGGCACCCCCTGGGTTGCTGTCTGTGGTTTTTCCACAGCTTCCAATTCCCCTGGCAGTGCCGCTTCTGCTCTTTCATTCCTGCTGTGAGCAACAAGAAGCATTAAAATCAATCAAGTAACAGGCCTTATTTGCAAGACACCATCTTCACCAGCCAACCTTGCTGCCTGTGACCTGCACTCGCGGGCTGGGTGGAGAAGAAAAGTGGAATCTCCCAGTGAAAGGGCAAGGGGTGACAAAAATTAAGTTAGTTAATTTGCTGTGTCCACCTGCACTAACACGTCTAACTGAATACRAAGAGAAAGGTCTGTCTGCTTTCGCTCAGGAGCATATATGATCTCTAAATACCACAGTACAGATTCAGTATAAGCAGCTATCAAATGAGTAATTTTAACGCACACTACCACTTGAATAACGAGTTTAACATGATTACACTGCCTTCTAAGAATAAAGGGCATTATTATGCTTTATAAGAATATATGAGATGCAAATCTTAATGCTGCGTACATTGCTGGTGTGTAACTGAAAAATTGGCATGAAGAAGGGAAAAAGAACGATCAAAGGTACAGAATAGCTTCCATACAAGGAAAACTAAATAGACAAGCAGTCTTCAGTCTAGAAGAGAAAACTGAGGGAAGATGTGACAGACATGAACAAAACCACAAAGAGTAGGAAGATACAAATGAAATGATGCATCTTTTGCAGATGGAAACCCTGCTGATAACCTAGAGAAACATAGTCTAGAAAACAAAACTTGCCCACTTTTGCTCAGCACATTTTTTAAATTTGCCACTTAAAAGGACACAGAGGGTGAGCAGCAGATGTGTCTTACTTGTCTGCAAGGCTGGCGACAACACCGTGTTGAGGAGCCTCCACCAGGAGGGACTTCAGCTCTTGTGTCTCGTTGTCTTCTTCATACTAGATATTCAAAACAACTGTTACTGCAAATGTGCACAGCATTCCTCATCTCACCCTTTTGCTTGGCAAAAATGAAGGCTGAATTACGAGCATCTGGACACCTAAAAATGCCCTTCACAAGGCTGCCAGAAGTTTGGTATTTATGCTGTACAGCAATCTGGGCCTCACATAATCTTCCTGGCAGATTTCAGTACTCTAACAGTAGCACTGGTTCACACTCATCACTACTCACAGGGTTATTTACAATCTAAATGATGTAATAAATGGCAGTGCAACATGATGGAAGATTTTAAGGAAAGAATGAGATTTTTATCATGTAATTCCTATAAACTCAACTGGAAATAGCACAGCTAAAGTCTCCAAGTCAGCCTTGGAAATCTCAGTTCAGACCAGGTGGTTCTTACCATGTCAGGGACCAAAAATTCACCCCTGATTTGGCTTGGAAGCTCCCTCTCAACTTCCACAGATCAGATTCCAATACTATAGCAGTCCTTTATCGTCAACAGTTTACATTTGCCACCAAATTACACTCTAAAGTCATTCTTATGCACCKCTGTATTTTTAATACAATTCTATTTTGTAAACAGATTTTGTAAACTCTTTTTGGAAGTGCTGCTGCCTGTCTTTATAACAATAAGTACTAGCACTTACTAYAATGCCTGAAATAATCTCTTTTCAAGCTTGCATCTCCCCTTAAGCCTTGCTCAGTAGCAGTTTCATTGGCAGCTCACCTGAAACTTCAGGACGGGCCCATCAGTGTTGATCCTCACGCTAACGCTCTCGGCCACGATCATTCCCAGACGCCGGATCTGGGGCAGGCTGCTGTCCAGGTGGCATTTTACACCGGCCATCATGTTTGTGAGGAGTTCTAGAAGGCAAAGAGTGCATCAAGCAAGGAGAGGAGCAAGGAGGGGTCTTGGTGGCAGCTCCCCAAGGGTGCRTCTTCAGCTATCCCCTGCTCAAAAATAGGCAGGAGACAGGAAGGGCCTGAAATCACCACTGGGATTACTACAACTATGCAAGAGTGGTACTTCCCCTCGGAAACCATATAATAAGAAAAAAAGCTTACAAAGTCAACCAAATCTGGAATATTTCATTTTTTCTCTGAAATATAAACCCCCAAAAAAGAGCAGCAAGTCAAATCAATATTTAGTTGCTGTAGAGTGTTTTCAAACCTCTGAAGGGAAACACAGCGTCACGAGGAAACTGTCCGTTCTGACTAGGGCCAAGAGTTGTGCAGGAGGGAAGGGAGAATTTCCCTCACCACCTAGCTAGGCACAGGCAGGCAGCCCATGCTGGCAATTCTCAGCCCACGGGAAATGACAGTAAGCCACCTTTACCAGAGAGAAGCCAAACAGCAGCAAATCTGTGAGCTCGTAAAAGCCTTTTTGGTTTTTTTTTATATTACTTTTATGCTGAGTAAATAATAGGTTGTGTCTTGTCCTAGAGAATTAATTCTAGAATGAGGCAGATTTATGCTCTTGTAAGTCAAACTTCCACAAACAAACAAAAAGCTGCACAAAGAAGCAACAGAAACAACTCTGGAAATTAGATCATTTTACTTCAGTAAGAAACTGAAATACCAGACCAGGACYCCAAAATGCTCTGAACTGAAAAACACAGGACAAAAGTGTTTCCCAATACAAGTTCAATGTCTTAGTATGAGAGATGCATGCGAAGAGCCTGACAGTCCCAACAAGAACGGCAGGAACAGGTCCTTCAGCTTTGCTGACCAGTACTAACCTTTGTCACCTGGTGAGTAATCACACCTGGAGCCCCCTGTTTGCAAGATGAAGTCACAACCATTTTTTTTTTTCTAACTCTGGATCAATACATCATATTTTTCTACTTACAGTCATCCTGTCTTTTAAACACACATTGCCCACAGCTCCTTCCACCACCTCACCTTGCCTGCAGCTCTCTATTTCTGACTCCTTCAGGTGGGAGAGGCAGATGAGAATGGCCTTGCTAATGTAGAGCTGCTGCTCCACCGGCGAGTGTCTCACGGCACTGCTGCTGCCCCACGTCTCCAAGAGCTCTTGCAGCACCTAAGCCACAAAACCCGAGTTAGCTCAAAATTCCTCTTTCCCACATGCAAGCAATGTCCTTCCCAAAGGAGCACTCTCACTTCATTCCGCAGAGCATCTATTCCAATGCTCTTTGGGTCTTTGTTCTTCTCAGTGGAATTACGTTCTCCCTTCAAACTGAGCTAAGTACTGCATGACCCTAAATGATGCAATGTTGGGTCAACTGAGAACTCCCTATCAACTTCCTCCAAGTTCACAAAGTTTTTGAAGTCCCCTCTTCAAAATCTACAGACCTGCCAAGTACTCACAGATCATTTCTGAACCTGGAACCAACACCAAAAACACTGAGAGAGGGGTAGAGAGTTCCAGCAATAGGGAGTTCCTAGAAGGTCTGCTATACTGCTGACTTGGAGAGGGAAAAGATCTGCATCTCCGTGGAGGATAAGAGACGTTCTGAACCATCAGAATCACTCAGCACACAGGGAGCTCAGAGCCAGTTTCATCACTTGCTGCCACCCATCCAGCCACACACATTGGGAAGGAGGGAGGAAGATGAGAGGGACCAGGACCACTGTAGGAATCCAGACTTCACTGCCTCTGCTGCTCAGAAGGCAATTTGCCAACAATAAATGGAAAAAAAAAACCACGAGCGGTGCAAAGTCTTCAGGTTATACATGGCAAACAATCTYGCTTTCATTGGTGTGCTGAGGTTTTCCTCGCTTTTATGAATAGCAGCAGAGGTGAATTAGAGGAGAACCAGATTTCTGCAACGCATGCACACTCTCACACAGTATTTTTTTAATCCAGCAGATACCTTACCAAAACCATGCCTGAACCTTACTTTGATCAACAAGGCACGCCGCAGGTTGTCCAGGGACAGGTAGCCAAGGACGTTCTGTAGCACTGCAGTCTGCAAGGGAAACCATGGCTCTTGCTTTAACTAGGCAAAGTACAAGGGAAACCAGGATCGGAATACAGTGTTTGCATCCTTGAGACCAGACCAGAACAACTTCAGGTAAACACAGAAGCCTCCAGACATAGAGAATACCCCTCAAGAGAATGGCCCTCAGAGAGAATATCCTGCTTCCAGCTCACGTTTCTCCCTTACGCTATCAGGAAAGAGAATTTCACATCAAACTCCGGCCTTGTCTCTTCATCTCTGCTCTTATCCCCAAGGATAGGTCGTAGTTTCCTGAGTCTCTTCTTTCAGATCCTAAATTAAGGAGACACCTCCAGCTAASCGGAAAAACTATGATTATGTGCAAATACCCATTTGCTTCCAGAAAGAAAATACAACAGTTCTGCTAATCACATCAACCCCAGAGAGCACCTGAACCCACGATCTGAAAGGCACCATTTCCCCCTTCCCTTCTGCTCAGCTACGGGGATGCAGGTGAACAGAGCTCAGGTACAAGTGGAGTGACTGAGACAATATGGGAGGACTTTACAACCGAGTTAAATGTTGTTCACAATTGGAGAGGTCAGCTAAAAAGTAAGCCAGTATTTTAGGAAGGAGAGGCCTTCCCACCTCACCGTTAATGCAGTCTCCTCACCGTGTAGCCATACTGCAAGAGCAGCAGCTTCTGTGTCATCACGAACTGAGCTTTCTTGTTCTTCACCACCAGGTTCCCCAGCAGTCGAGACAAGGCATCTGCCCTAGCAAGAGAGGTCAAGGGCAAAACTTCAAGAGTCAGCAGGATGACAGGCATCCTGCCATAGGTCATACACAGGTCTGTGAGCAGCAATGAAGCCAAAAGCTGAGGATTATTAAAATGGCTCTAGAAATTACGAGCTGGYCAGTGATTGTGAAAAACACTTCATTTATTCACTGCAGAATCCAGATCTTTAAGGAACAGCACCTACCTGAGAGAAAACCTTTGGCTATTTAGCTCTAGAGCATCTCAGCAAACAGCACCACAAGAAACAGCCTACCCAAACACAGAGGCCAGCATCTTGCAGGCACTGATGCTGAAAGCATTTGTGAAATAATTCCAACCTTTGCTCCGGATCGGAGAGCAGAGCAGAGTCCTTACCCTGGTGCACTCTGAACGAATCCAAGGAGCACTGCTTCCATCCAGCGGTCGGGCACGCTTTCCACCAGTCGCCAGCAAATCCGCTGCCAGATGCAGTCTGACTGGGTGAGTTCTGTTAGCTGGGGCACCAAGACGCCCAGAATTTCCTCTGAAGTGGACGATAACAGAGGTAAATACTCCAGCTGGATGGAGCTGGTACTTACATAACCTTTTCAGGAAGCAGAGCCCAAATAAATATGCCCAAAACAGCAAGACAGAGAGAAGACTAATGCTCTTCTCAGCCTTGGAGAGGACATGAGTGGACACAAAAGCATGACATCTATCAGGCATGTAGTTTTGAGGAGTCTCACAAAGCAAAGAGCAGCCAGTGTCTACAGGCTGATTCATAAGAAACTCAAAGTATTACCCCGTCAACCACAGAATGGTTAAGGCTGGAAGGGACCTCTAGAGATYCCCTAGTGCAGCCCCTGGCTCCAGCAGGGACACCCCGAGCACGGGGCACAGGGTGGYGTCCAGGCAGGTTTGGAAAATTTCCAGAGGAGACTCCACAACCTCCCTGGGCCCTCTCTCACRTCTTCTATGGCAATTGGCACCCGCAGTTTCCTCGCTAATACGCTACAACAGATTTCCCCTCTCCCCCRAGCAGAGCAGTAAAGCACTCACTCTGTCCCCCATGGACGCACACCTTCCCCACGACCTGCGACACGAAAGAGACGGAGCAGTCCGAGCCACCTGGGAGAGAGGAGCTCTGGCATGAGCGAGGCGAGCGCGGCTGCGCGCGCAGGGGCTCGGCCGCGGGCGYGCTCACCTCGCAGCGAGCCGGCGAGGCGCCGCAGCGCCTGCAGCACCGCGCCGCCCAGCAGCGCGAAGTAGCCGCGCGGCAGCAGCGCGCCGGGCGCCCGGCCCCGCAGCCGGTTGCCCACGCGGTCAGGCAGCCCCACGAGCAGGCCCAGCAGGACGTCGGCGCAGGGGCCGCCCGCGCGCGGCTCGCACTGCTCCCACAGCAGCTCCGCCAGGCCGCCCGCGCGCACCAGCTGCTCCAGCAGCGCCAGCGCTGGCTCCACGCACGACTCGGGGCTGGGAGGAACAAGAAGCAGAGTTAGCGCCCCATTTCACAGGGGGTTAAAGACCTGCTGCGCTGCATCGCTAACGGATCTTAGTATCAGTAACGGTGCGTGGGGACGCTCCGCCACGCGGGACACCGGGCACGCGGCCAGGGACGGCGGCAGGGACCCTGCCCGCCCCGCTCCCCGCCGCCCTGCGCACGCACCCGGGCTCCTCGAGCGCCTCGAGCAGCAGCGGCAGCCGCAGCGCGGCGGGCGCCTCG